GATATATATATATGTTTTCGTGCTGGATACGCAATGTTGAAATAAAAATATGAGTATTTCATTTTTTTTTCTTTAATATGTACAAAAAGATAGGTCCGTTACATTCTAAATGATGGACATGGTGGATGTGATAACAAAACGAATGAAAATAAACTTTTTACGAAATGGCATAAATGATACATGCTACAATGGGTGCATAAAAATTGTATTTAAACACGCAAAATAAAACTACTTTATGCACAATTGCTCAGTTGTCCTCACATGTACAACAAGTTTATTTTTGTTTTTATCCTTAGTATTGTATTTTATTGTAGTGCGTTAATTTTGAAACATATTGCCCTAATAGCAAAACATGTGGTTGAAAGAACAGACGAGTTAATGGTCCAATCCGTTTCGACCATTCTTTCCTTTGGTTCACGTAGTTCTCGTAATCTTGTTGTTTCCTAGTTGCAATCTCGGCTTCAGACTGGCAGGCCAGCTGTTAATTATTCTCCAAGCATCATTCTATAAATTGAAATTTTTGTTATTGCATAAATAGGTCTGTATTATGTCTTAATGCTCAGTCACGTCATAAAGAAATAACCCAATATTTCCTTATGTCTCTCTTCTTTGAAGTATTTGATGATATGGAATGTAGTCAATTTCTTTTTTTTTGTCCATTTGATCGAAAAACAAAAATTTTCATTTCAAAAAATTTTTATTTTCTTATATCACTAGTAGAATAGTACTTTATATATTTTGGACTGTATCTAACAACACAAAGCAATTGATATTGGTTGTTGGTCTGCGAGTCAGTTGACTCATGCTGAACCGGCCCTGATTCACTTATTGGGTCCGTCTTCTCTCGCGAGTGCATTCGCTGTGGCGAATGTCTTTGTTTTTAGCTTAAGTCACGGTTGAATTGTTAATGAAGCATTTTTTGTTAAACTAAATGTTAGGATGTGGTATACTTTTTAGTTTTATACCGTGTGATTATTTATAATATTTATTTATTTATTTTGTTTGGAAATAATTTAAAAAAATAAAAATAACAATTCTTTACGTAGAATCTGAATTTGAATTCAAACAATTTTTTTCGACGTACGGTACATCCCCAGGGTTCCAAATTTTTTTTAACGGGAAGGTATCATTTCGAATACGGAATTAAATTAGACGACTTTTTTAAGATTTTATTTAGAGCACTTTTCTTGTAGAGTTTGTCTTTTAAGAGTTATTAAGGTTTGAAAAAATAAAAGGTTCAAATTTTATTTACCTCAATCGTCATTCATTTACCTCCTAATAACTTTAAGTTAATTACTAATTCAATTACCCCTACTAACTTTATTAATTAATCCTAGTAAATTTAATTTGCAAATTGGGCACCACCGATCTCCATACAATCCAAAATTCTATTATGGAATTCATTTCGCACTTCATAGAAAGTATTTGATATTGTGCGAATTTAAATTATTTTAATATCGGCAGTTGTGACGATTCAATTTTTTGGTTTGTATGTAAACATTGAATAATTTCTCTGAGTTCTGAGAATTACGAGATTATTTGTTTTGGTTCAGTTCATCTCCAGCTAATGTAAAAGAGAACTGTTAATTTGAATTTTTAGGGTAGAATTAATTTATCTTTATGGGGTCACCAATAATTTGATGAAGCTGAACGCTTGTTGTTGTCTTCGTGTTCGTCTTGTTGTTTTGCCGTTTTATTTTAAAGGGTGTAATAGACTTTCAGGTAGTAGAGGACGTTCTTGTCGACTTTGTCGAAACTCGTACCCAATGCCAGCAAGTCGCCAGTAGGCATGATATTTCGACGAGTTCGGTCCGAAATATTCTCAAGAAAAACAAATTTCATTCTACAAAATTCTTAATGAACTTCGTCAAAAACTTAATGAAGGTAGAAATGCATGAAGGCCCTGACGGAAGTCAGCGACACTAATGACCTGACCCTGGCCAAAAAGGGAGCCAACATGGACTCTATAGGCCCAGAACCCTACTGCGGCCTAGCAGCCTGCCACAAAAGAGGATACATCTTAAAATAGATCCTTAATGAGTCCAAAACCTGGTGGAACAATACCACATGCATGAGGCAAACGAAGAGTTTCAAAGAAGGGCCATCCTTACAAAAGAATTACTGGAAGGCAACCGCAACCTAACAGGATTCTGTTTGTACTCCTGACAGGGTAGATGTTCCCATCTTTACTCATGGGTGTTGAGACCCATGAGGATCTTTAATGTCCGGACTTATCCCCCAGGGGACTTCTCGAAAGAACACCAGAAAGATTTTACTTGCATAGACTTGTCACATCCCTTGGCTAGCGAGTGCAATAGTAACCAAGTTCAGAAGTGCCCTACAAAGGGCACATCCATACATGTGCCTTGAAAAAGACAGTTTTGTGGTATCCAGCACAGCCTTTTAGCCATGCCTTTCACCACCCCAGAAGGCACTCATCTACAGCTCCGGTTGGCCGGTACGGTCCAACTAAGGTACAATTTGTTTACAGAAGAAACACTGTGCAGATACATGAAGGGGAGGAGACCGCAGAACACTTTTTATGTTCCTGTGAAAGTCTTTGTAGGTGCGGTTGTTGCAACTAGGACAAGAAAATCCACAAGCAAGATCCTACGCCAAGGAACTGCTGGCAAAGCTGTGGAGGCTGGTTAATAGCCTGAAGCTGGCCAGTGAGTTATAAATAACAGAGAAGCACAATAGATCTATTCAGGTCGAGGTACAGTAGGCCTTGTGGCCGCCTCTTTTATCCCTATCCCTACCCCCTAATGAAGATGACCCAGATAGACGCCTTCAAATTTGTGAAATTTTGGACAACAGAATTACGGTTGAATCGGGTATGATACGGAGAATTTGTTTTAGTGTCGAGGCAACTTTTTTTAAAAATGGTGAATTGAATCGTCACAATTGCCGATATTGGGATAAGTATAATCCTTATGCAATGAGAAGAATCGCACATGTAATACGCTGGAAAACAAAACGTTTGGGGAGAGGTCTTAGGGAACTATATCACCTTTATTCATCCATGGCAATTTAAAAGGATAAAATTACCGTGTGCTCCTTAAAGAAATTATTTGCCCGTTGATATTCGCTAAGGTGGAAGAATTTATTTTCCGGAGGAAGAAGAAGTTATTTTCCGACAAGATGGAGCGCCATCTCACTGCACAAGAAACGTGAGAGACTTTTTAGATGTATGTTTCCCTTCAAGGTGCATGGGAAAGCGAGGTGTCATCGAGTGGCTAGCGAGATCTCCAGATCTAATACCTTACAATTTTCTGTGGAGACACAATAAAACAGTGGTGTACCGATCATCTTCTAACACTCTGGAAGATTTAAAGAAAAGGATCAAAGAATGAAAATGTTGTAGAAACATAACATCAGATACTTTTCGTGAAGCGGGAAATGAATTCCACAATAGGATTTTGCATTGTATGGTGAACGGTAGTGCCCATTTTGAAAATTTAATTTTCTATGATTAACTTAATAAAGTTACTAGGAGGTAATTAAATTAATAATTAGTAATCAACTTAAAGTTATTAGGAGATAAATGAATGAGGATGGATATAAATAAAATTGGAACTTTTTTCAAACCTTAATAACTCTTAAAAGACAAATTCTACAAGAAAAGTACCCGAAGTAAAATCTAAAAAAAAGTCGAAGAATTTAACTCCGTATTCAAAATTATACCTTCCCATTTGAAAAAAAAGGTTTCTGAGCCCTGAGGGAGTTCCGTACGTACAAACCACTCCTATTTTTTAAATTATTCCCAAACAAAAGTAATAAAGGGGGGGTAGTTTACAAACAATCACCCGGTTTACATACTTTTTAAGTATCGTAACCTGATTGGCAGTGTTAGAGCTGATGCTGGGTGTTGGTCTGCGAAACAGTGAACTCATGCTGTACCAGCACTGGATCACCTACCCCCGTGAATGAAGACGGGCACAATAATTGACCTAGTGCCGATTCAGCATAAGTGAAAACAATTCATAACTTCAGGTCAATAGGCGCAAGTTGGAAACTAATCGTCACTGGTTTTGAATGTTTCCTTTATCAAACCCACAGATCACCTTTGAATTTCTTAAGAGCTCGTTAAGAAAATCGCCTACAAGCAGCCAAAAAAACTAGCTGAACATCATGTAATTAGTAGAACTATAGTTTAAAGACAGAAATTAATCGAAAAAATTAAACATCTAGATATATGTGATACATAACCTCAGCTGTTTTTTTAAATGGGCCTTTATCCCCGATATATGAAGTGTTATAATCCGATCAGCTAAAGATCAAGGTCACATAGTACAGAATCACACAAAGGAAAAAACTATGGCAACCATATGGTAATTGGACTTATCAATTTGTATTTTCTACCGAAAGGAAAAAGGATCAATTCATCGACATAATGCACCGGTGAACAAGACAGATCCAAACCTGTTGAGTGACAACATCCGACCGCATGTTTCAATACTGAACAACTTAGAAGAGCTATTCTAAACCCGCGAGAGTAGACGGATCCAGTAAAGTGATGGAGTGTTGCTTGGTCAAACTATTTATTTGTTAACGCATTCTCTAGCGAAGTGAAGAAATAGTTTGACTTCTGAAAGACTGCTGTAGAACAGTCACTGTACCTGATCAACGTACCATTTGGGTATAACGTTTTTATAACTGTACAATCATTGTACTTAAAAAATATTCAAATTGTTAAATTATATATAGTACATTTGTTAGTTGTTGTTTTTTTTAATTTACTTCATGTATAACTACTCAGAATGAGCCATACTAAGTACATTTTTCTTTCTATTTATTTTACAATTATGGGTTTTATCTGTAGATGTATCTGGATTTGTTTTTAAATTGTATAGTAGAATTACTATAATTAGCTGAATCTTGTGAATTACTTGTTTGTTTGGTTATAAAGCGCAATAATCAATTTTAATTTCATAAATGTACAATTATAACCTTTCGCATTTTGAGTGATTTTTTAAAATAATTTTTCGTTTTGTTTTCAGGAGGAAAGCAGGATGGTCTGCCGGGTCGACGAGCTGCTGGCTCGCTGGTTCTACAAGCTGGGCGTGCGGGTGGCGATGACACCGGGCTATTTCATCATAGTTCCCATCCTTCTGTCGTTGCTCTGCATCACCGGCTACCAGAGGATCCACTACCAGATGGACCCAGAGTACCTTTTCAGCCCTGAGAACGGCGACGGGAAACACGAGAGGGCCGTCGTCGAAGAGTTCTTCAAGATGAACTACTCGAGCAGATTCAATCCAACGAGGATAACGAGAGCGGGTGAGGAAAATTTTTCCATTTTTCAAATCGAAATAATTAAAGTCCTCTGCCAGCGCTGAACAATATTTCTATATTGTTAACATTAGTTCCTGCTTAATTTTGTCATTAATAACTGAATCTAGGACAACAAATCGCCTCGTTTAATATGTATATGTGACGAGATGGCGGATTTGTCTGACAGGGATGATCATAAGCCAAACGTGATGCTCTTAGATTTACTCAACCGTCCTCCGGAGGTTTGACACTTGGTCCGGCAAGTCCTCAAGCGGATCGTTTACTTGCTCTGACTGGACAGGTTCCTTCGTCAGCCACGCACATCTTAGGAGCTCCAGCACGCTTTCGGCGTCACTTGTCCTTTTCTTCTCCTCCTCGAACTCCTCGAAACCTCGGTTTTTCTACGACTCTAAATATTAAGCCTGCTGGAATATCTAGATTGCACACGACAGTTTAGTCATATACAGATTGATTCATAACAATCGTTTAACGTCGAAGAGGTACTAGCTAGTGCTTTCTTTTTTTCTTTATCTTCTACCGAAAAGTGTCAGGTTAGGCACGGGAAAGTCCCGGAAAGCTCGCCACGAGTTCCTGTAACAATTTTTGTTACAGCTGAATTTGTTTTCCTGAGCTTCAAATCAATCACTGGCTTCCATCTCGACGTATTGAACCTGGACTTGCTCGTCCCACCCGACTGTTGCCACTACGTGGAATATTTGCAAATGGAATAATACTAGAAATCTTCGTCAAGATACCCGAGAAAAATCCTTGGCTGTATTATCGCGGCATTCTTCATATCCGGTTCAACTCCTCGGCATTTCTTTCCATCAACGATGTCCCCACGTGAGCACTCGCTCCTCTCGTAGGATTGACACGACCGGATCCATTCATTTATCGTACCCGCAGATTTGTAACGAGCTACTATAACGAAAATAGGTGATTTTCATTTACATCTTTATTCATTCCATTCCCATATTACGATTCCCATGGGCCGACTGTCTAAATATATATTTTGAATATATATACGGACGGGGGAGGGTGCATAACCGTTTGTACTGCGGGGCAGCGTATTTTCGTTCCAAGTTCAAACAGCTGCATGGGTCGCAGTGGCTTAGTGGTTAGACCCCTGGCTGGTACCTAGAGAAGAGGCTGTGTCTCATTCGTGGCCGTGGATCGTAGTACTTGCGCATAATGTCCGAATTACCTCCGACCTCGTGGAGATCGGATTGCCGAGAGCGTATAGCCAGCGAGGAGCTATGACTACGCTGCCAGCATCCCTCGAATGCGTGAGGAATGGTGGACGTCTGGGTGGCCTTTACCGTAGGCATGGGACTCCTCTAGGGGGCGGTTCGAGGTTCCACTAAAATCGAAACCGCGGCCGGAGCATATCCGGAGGTTTCAACGCTATCTACACCCAGGCGGATAGAGTTGTCTCTCTATCTGGAGAGTGCGTGGGAGACATGGCTGATGCATTTCGGCCACTTCTTGGGTATTTCTTTACGCGCGGCACTGGTTAAGTGAACAATGTTAACCCACCCCCTCGGAAAGGGCAAGCGGGAGAAGTCGGCATGTCGACAGTTTGCTGTGGGATGATGTGGGCTTCTACACCGAACCTCGCGGAAGAAGTAGATTTTCCACTTGCGGAGGTGAGTCGCTCCTAACTTGAGGATCTAAACGTGTGATAAAGCCTAATCGGACAGGTGTTTTTTAATTAAAAAAATTCTTAAAATTTTAATTTTTGTCTAAATGAAAAAATATAAAATTAAGGAACGATGCAGAAAATTCCGTTTCAACGTCTGACGCACCGGCCAAATTCTTTCAAGAGGTGTCATTGGCGACTCAAATATTGACAACCCCTAAAAATTAGTTATTCGAACGTAAATTTCAATTTTCACTTCTTCCTGATAGCTTTACAAATACAACCCATTACGTCAAAAATATTCGAATATTGAATAATTCGAAGAAAACATTGTCGCTGATTTTCTTCTCGGTGTTTGCCATTCAAATTGACTTTTGTTACACAACAGGAATTCATAACTGGAATAAAACAAGCTATTCAACGGGTGTGAAGAAAAAAGTTAAATGACGCATATTTGTAGAAAAATCTTATTGAACAAATTGATGAAAATGAATTAGCACCACGTCACACTTAAATTTACTACTTAATTAGGCAGAAAACTAATTTAACTTATATGAGTAAAGTTTCTCGATCTCTTAAGAAATAATTTTGCGAAAATACACTAAATAATCCAAATTTATATAGACCCATTTTATTCTTCCGTTTTTCATAAAAAATGTCCATTGGATACTTTACAAGTTTCATAACCCCATTGTAAACTCTTTATTATTCTGGTGTTTAACCTAAACCAGACTAGTTATTGACAAAAAAAACTCGATTTATCATGAAAAATAGGACATATTTTGGATCTAATTTCGTTTTTTTATATTCCTCAGACGTATTGGAATTTAAATAAACCGGTCAGTAATTTTTTGATCTGGTGTTATGCAAAAATCAGACTTAGACAAAATCAGTCAACTTAGACAGAATCAGCAATTTTTTTAATATGCTGTTTAGCTAAACCTGTCGATTTCCAGACAAAATCAAATAAATTGGTTCGGTAAAACAGTTCAAATTTGGACATCCTAGTTTTTCTTCTTGCAAACCTCACATGTATGGATTTTAAGTACTTCCAAGTTTCATCAAACACCATTGTGAACTATTTGTTATTCTGGTGTTTAACCTAAACCAGACTAGTTATTGACACAAAAAAACTCGATTTAACAAGAAAAATAGGACATATTTTGTATCTAATTTCGGTTTTTATATTACTCAGAAGCATTGGAGTTTCAATAAACCAATCAGTAATTTTTTGATCTGGTGTTATGCAAAAATCAGACTTAGACAAAATCAGTCAACTTAGACAGAATCAGCCGTTTTTTAAACCTGCTGTTTAGCCTAAACCTGACAATTTCCAGACAAAATGAGACAAATTGGATCGGTAAAACAGTTCAAATTTGGACATCCTAGTTTTTCTTCTTACAAACCTTACATGTATGGATTTTAAGTACTTCCAAGTTCTGCAAACACCATTTTCAATTATTTGTTATTCTGGAGTTTAACCTAAACCAGACTAGTTATTGAAAGAAAACTCAATTTAAGAAGAAAAATATTACATATTTTGAGATCTAATTTATTTATTTTATATATATATTCCTCACAAATATTGGAATTTCAATAAACCGGTCAGTAATTTTTTGATCTGGTGATAAGCAAAAATAAGACTGACAAAATGGCTTGATTTGTCAAAAAATCCAAATTTTAAAACTCTATTTTCTTGTTTTATATTCCTCAGAAATATTTCAATAAACCGGTCAGCAATTGTTTGATCTGGTGTTAAACAAAAATTATTTTCACAAAATGGCTTGACTTGACAAAAAATCCATATTTTGACACCCTATTTTCTTATTTTGTATTCCTTTAGAAGTATTTTAATAAACCGGTCAGTAATTATTTGATCTGTTGTTAAGCAAACATCAGTCTTGTTTCTGTTAAAAAAAAATGCTTGATTTGACTGAAGAATTCCAAATTTTAATATCCTAGTTACTCCTTTTTTACATTTATCAGATGCATTTCAGGTTCATCAAATGAGTCAGCAGTTTTTTAATCTGCTGTTTAGCCTAAACCGGACAATTTCCAGACAAATTGGATCGGTAAAACAGTTCAAATTTTGACATCCTATTTCTTCTTCTTACTTACCTCACATATTTTTAGTCTTGTGTTAAGCTGCGTTAACAGTATTCCTATTTCAATTAATGAATATTTTTATGTAAGGTTTTAGTTGAATTAAAAAACTTAGCGTCAAGAGCGGGATACGAACCCACGACCTTCGGCTCGTGACGCTAACTTTTTCATTTCAACCAAAACCTTACATAAAAATGTTAATTAATTGAAAGAAGTAATTTTGTCAATCAGACCACTGAATATAATGGATTATTCTTATTATTCTTAGCAAAATTGCTTTATTGGTTAGAATGAAGGAAATTTACACATCAAGCTTTCATTTGGCTTTAGTACATTACAATTTTCTTCTAATCAATAAATTTAACATGTATATGTTTTTGAGCTGGGTACACAATTTTTTGACGTGATTTTCGCATTATCGATACTGTGAAATGCGCACGGGCTGGTTTAGTTTAGGCTTAGAGCTAGGTAATATTATGTTAGGATTAGGGACGGATTTGGCTATGCATCCATGATTCAATTTTTTTCGCAAAGCTGAGAGGTTTTGTAACATAGATATGTTTTGGTCTGGACACACTCATTTTTCGGTCTGGTGTCATAAACTTTTATCATTCCTTCCATTATTTGTTAATAGCATTAGCAAAATTGATACAACCTAACGGCTTTTCAGTTTTGCTCATCATTGGTGACATACCTAAATGAAAAAAAGGATCCAAAAATTTAGATCCGATACTATGTACGAATTTTCAACATCAATATCTATCTTTGTAACTGGTCTTCTTCATTCGATACAAAATAACCTGATAAAATCCAAGTTGTCATCAAACTATGAATAACTATGGCTATAACTCACAGAGCCGACACAAAGCAATATCCACAATCGCATAGTAATTGAAAATATGCCATGCGTCTGCCTTCCGTCTTCTTGCTTTTGATGGACTAAAACCTGTATAAAATCTTTTTTTTAATTGAATTTAAAAATTTTAATGAATAGTTCGAGTAATAACAAAGATTATCAATGTAATGGCATAGAACAACATTCCGTGCGTTTTATGTAACCTTTAGAGTTTTAGAGTTTGGAAAATTTCATCTGACCAATCCGTGATGCTTATCATCAGTTAGAATGAGAAAACCCCGAGATATCATAGTTCATCTTTTGCGGATAATTTAAGCAAACGCGCATTAGAATGTCACTATAAGGTTTTTTAAAGTAGTTCATATTTGCTAAAGTTCTAGTTTTCCTTACCTACCTTAAAGTTCTATCCTTAGAACAACATACTTCCCCCAATGGAAATTTTCCCTTATCCTAATGATTCCAAAGCCTAAAAAACCTCATAACCTACTACCACCCTACGGTCCGATTAGTCTGTTGCCTATAATGGGCAAAATTCAAGAAAAACTCCTGCTTAAAGGCATTCTTCCCATCCCTGTTATCTTATGACTGACCACCAGTTTGGGTTCAGACGTTCTTATTCTGTTCAGCAGTGCCAGCGCCTTATAGACATCATCTCCTGAGCAAAAGGGGTGCTGCTCCGGTGCACTGCAATGTGAAGCACGCCTTCGATCAATTATCGTACTCCGGGGTGGCCTGGAAGCAAGCCTTTTACCTACAACCTGAGCTTGAATTTCTATCTAACCGACAGATACTTTGAAGTCATCAGACGACTATTGCAAGGATACAGGGGTAACTCAAGGAAGTACCTTAGAACCCTATACAGTAACCCGCAGACATTCCTACTCTTCCAGAAACGATCCATCTTCATATACCTGCGTATCCATGTCACCTCCCTTGAGCAGTGGTTGGAACGATGAAAGAAAATAAGAACAGGTTACCTTCTGAGAATAACAACTGCTCCCATCTTACTACAATCAATAATACAATTTAAACGCATTCTTCCCATCCCTTTTATCTTATATCGGAGCACCAGTTTGGGTTCAGGCGTTCTTATTCTACTGTTCAACAGTGCCATCGCGTTATAGACATCATCTCCTGAGCAAAAGGGGTGCTGCTCCGGTGTATTGCAATGTGAAGTACGCCTTCGATCAAGTATCGTACTCCGGGGTGGCCTGGAAGCAAGCCTTTTACCTACAACCTGAGCTTGAATTTCTACCTAACCGACAGATATTTTCAAGTCATCAGAGGCCCGCCTTATCAGGCAGCTATTGCAAGGATACAGGGGTAACACAAGGAAGTATCTTAGAACCCTACACAGTAACCCGTAGGTTATCCTACTCTTCCAGAAACGATCCATCTTCAGATACCTGCAAATCCATGTCACCTCCCTTGAGCAGTGGTTGGAACGATGGAAGAAAATAAGAGCAGGTTACTTTCTGAGAATCTACTACAATCCACTCCCACCAGCTAACATAGTCCGCTATCTTGGGCTATACATTGACAACGACTTACATGGTACACAAACAAACGACTCGAAAGAAAAGAACTAAACAGGCTCTTCAGTCTAATTAAAAGACACGAAAATCGAACCAAATTAATTCTACAAAGCAAACGACTCATTTATATTGCTACTTTGAGACCCATATGGGCATACGGCATCGAACTTTAGGATTCAACGAAACGTTCCAATATCCAATATATCCAATCCATACAATCCAAAATTCTCCGAACCATCGACAATCGACAACGCTCCTTTTTTCGCTAATATATAGTAGTGACTACTAATGAGTAATTAATCTTTTTTGACTCAAATGGTAATGTGATTAATTAATGGATTTTAATACAATGGTCAAGTTGGTTCTCATTTATGAGAGCGTTTTTCGTGTTATTTTTTTCTTTGGTCTTAGATGTTATCAAATTTACTAAGTGCAGCAATTGGCACAGATTTAAATAAATAAATAAATTTAAACAAGTTTATATTTTCAATATCCTCATCAAATCATATACTTAGAAGGATACTAAGGATCCGTTGGATCCACGAAAGCAAATGTATTTTTGGGGTAAATACGAAAAATCAAAAGCTCAAGGAAAAACAGCAGTTAATCGTACTTAGTCGTCCTGCCGATAACAAAGGGAGATGAGGAGGAAAAACTACACTTCTTCAACGGATAACACACAAAACACGGTTGGCCAAACGTTAATTCCTGCGGGCACTTTTCCACTAATCTTTTTCCTGCCAGCACAAAAAAATTGCCGCACTTGCGTGTCTTCAAAGCGGAGGTCATGTGTATTATGGGAATGGTGAAGAAGTGGATAAGCGCGCTTTTTCTTCTTTTTAACATAGGAACTGACCCATTTTACCACATTCATTGTACGTATGACAGATATCAATCTTGACTTTTTTCATGTTAAATAAGGTAAAATTGTGTGTAGCAAGGGTTATTTTCAATCAATCGCACTATGAATCAGGGGTAGTTGAAGCTTGTTGTCTCCCTTCTTTACTTTTCGTTAATATTTTATTTTGCAGATTTAAAAATAATTACTTTAGTAAATACACAGAAAAAAACAGCAAGATCCCATAATGAATTGGGCAATTTAGAATGAAGAGAGAAATAAATTTTTAGTAATAAAACTTTAAAGAATTTATCAATTTCACCAAGGTACTCACTTTTCATGTTTTTCACGTTTCTCGTCTATCGTTAATCAACATCGTTTCTATCTGATGCTCCTGTTTTTTGAATTCGGTGGATTTTCAACCGAGGAATCCTAATGCTTTTTTACAGTTGAAAACCCGAGTTGAGTCTCAGTAGGTGTGGATTTTGTTCAAATCTATGGAATTTTTAGTTTTGTAAGTTTTGGAGGTACATTCTTTTTAAATTTTTTGAAGCCCTCCTCATTCCCCCGTTCCTGAGGAAGATCGGCGGACCCGCCATGCTCTAAAATTATTTCAAAGGGTAAAAAAACTATGACTTCCTTCCTATTTTCTAGCTGATTGCCCACAAATTAAGACGAGAAGGGACATCATACAAAAAGCTTTCAATTGAAAGACAAATAGGTACTTCTCTGTTTTGCTTTATTTTTATGTGCGTGCCTTTTTCGAATATTAAATAATATATTCACATCAAAAATAAGACATATATTTAAACAAACACATTTAAAAACAAAAGCTGATGAGAACCAAATACTAGAATCCGGTTGCACTATCACACATTTCTTGTACCTACCTCAACTTTTGTCTACTCTTATGAAGGTAAGGTTATTTACATCTTCTGCTTACTGCAGAGGCTGACGGGCGAAATGTGTGCAAGTATGATCCAAAGAAGTAAATAAAAGATTTGTGTGTAGCGTAGTCGTTTTTTGTTAAAGTTATGTATCACTTTCGTAGTTGATGTGATAAACCATTCCAGATATCCCATGACTATCAGACACGGGATAAAAAGATTTTCTTTGTTTTCAGGACGATTCGGACGTGTGATTATCCTGCCGAAGGTCGGCGATGACCTTCTGTCCGTCGAAGTCTGGCGAGAACTCCGCCTCCTCGATTCGATAGTGAGAAATTCGTCGATCGTATTCGGCGAAGAGAAGGAGCGCTTCTTCTACCATGACATCTGCGCCCGGTGGTTGGACAATTGCTTCGAAAACGACATCCTCAACCTGGACAAGATCATGGACGAAGTGGTCGCCGGCACCCTCAACCTCACATTCCCGATCATGATCAACCCGGAGACCTGGGACGCCCACATATTCCCGGTCTACTTCGGCGGGCCCGTCGTCCGGGACGGCTTCATCGTCAAAGTGCCCAGCATGCAGCTGGCCTACTTCGTCAACGCCGACTCCAAATACCAGGATGAAAGGTACAAAACCGTCACTGTAACATTTCTAACGAACTAAATATAAATAAGAGGGTTTCGGTGGTTGCAACTCTTTACACTGCCTCCGAATTCGTAAGAAAATATGATCGTAAGACTTCGAACTAGACGACCACCTACAGTAGAAAAAAATATGGTGGGACTATGTCGTTTAATTTCTTTAAGAGATATAGTAACTATGTCTTAAAGGGATTAAACAACATACTCACCCCACCTTTTTCATTTCTATTAATTTACTAGTAAAAGCTAGCAATGGCTAGTAACACAATTACAAACTGTGAGTATGAACTAAATGAAAGAGATTAACCACCTACAGTTGCATAGGCGTATTTACATTGCTCCCTACGCTCGTACATAGTCTTACGAATACTCACGAAACCGCATTACCGTTTACATGCGTTCAAAATAATTATTTTTTCGTCAGTTATCGTACGATTTTTTCTCTCCTTACATCTCCCGTTTTGTCTTATCAAATAGTCGTTTCATTACATTTATTTTATTATTATATTTATTAGGGTGCTGTGTAGCTACAATAAGTTTTACCTGTGGAGAAAAGCATATTCGAAAGATCGAATTTGTGCGTTTTATGCTAAGTGTACATATTCTCTGTTTACCTCAACCTTCAAAATATAATCTAATAGAGCAGCTTACCATGCGGGTAAATTGAAAAAAGTTTGATCATTTTCCTTTCTCTCTCTCCCCTCTCTCTCCCCTCTCTCTCTCTCACTCTCTCTCTCTCTCTATCTATCTATTTATCTCTCTCTCTATTTCTCCTCTCTCTCTCTCTCTCTCTCTCTCTCTCTCTCTCTCTCTCTCTCTCTCTCTCTCTATCTCTCTCTCTCTCTATCTATCTCTCTATCTCTCTATCTATCTATCTCCTCTCTCTCTACATATCTCCTCTCTCCCACTCTCTCTCTCTCTCTCTATCTATCTCTCTCCTCTCTCTCTACATATCTCCTCTCTCCCACTCTCTCTCTCTCTCTCTCTCTATCTATCTCTCTCCTCTCTCTCTACATATCTCCTCTCTCTCACTCACTCTCTCTATCTCTCTCCTCTCTCTCTCTCACTCTCTCTCTCTATCTCTCTCCTCTCTCTCTCATTCTCTCTCTCACTCACTCTCTCTCTCTATCTCTCTCCTCTCTCTCTCATTCTCTCTCTCTCTCACTCTCTCTCTCTATCTATCTATCTATCTATCTATCTATCTATCTATCTATCTATCTATCTATCTATCTCTCCTCTATCTCACTCTCTCTCTCTCTATCTATCTATCTATCTATCTATCTATCTCTCCTCTATCTCACTCTCTCTCTGTCTATCTATCTATCTATTTTCTATTGTAACTATAATTTACAATTTAATTTGAAAAAGGGTAGAAAACGATTTTTTAATGACTCGAAGGACGGATTCTTCGGTATTAAAAAAATAGTAAGATTTTCCCTGTAGAACTCTAGTCTTACGGACAGATTCTTACAAAATCTTACGAGTTGATACGACCAACCATTCTTAATTCGGATCCAGTGGAACCGCAGCTAGACGATGATACAGCGTTTATCACGGTAAAGGCCCGGGGTTCAAATCCAGCGGCACCTTCATTCAAACCCGACATACTTACAAAAATACGGGGTGTTCATATAACGTCTTAGATGCAATGATTTCATAAAAAAATAAATAAGTATGGATAAGAACAGAACTGACACATATTAATTTTATTTCTGAAAAGTTGGACTTCTCTACTTCCAAAAATTTCATTCATTTCGAACATCAGTAAGGATAGATTAAATTTACATGAAAATATAACTAGCCCTGCTGAAAAAATCTACGGACATTTTTCACCATTATCTTCATGAAATAGAGCACGGAATACTTAATCGTTTTGTATTATTAAGTCACACAAGCTTTTCATCTTGGAACAAACAAGAAAAACCCGAATTTAAACTGTAAAGTCCTTCAAGTCTTAGTGCTCAAAAGGTCGGGCAGAACTATCGGAACACCTGGATGCACTTAAGACGAGGAAGCAAAGAACACTTCTGACAAGGGCAAACAATTTTATAATCAGAGATAAACAACAATAGGCCTCAGCGGTTTACTTAACTTGACAAAAGAAACGAGGAAAGAGGTACTCAAAGAAGAGTTCAACCTCACCCAGACCTTCGTGGATCAAACCACTCAATTTCAAGGTAACAATGACGTTTCAATAATCCAAAATCAATGTTTGGTTTTTGTTAAATAATTAATAAATAATACAAACAGAGACGGACATTAGCTTGTAGACTGTCAAAGGGTGAAATGTATAAAAATGTAAGACTGATGATGGTTTTAATGGCAGTTTTGCCACTTTATATCTATTGAGTTTCTTGGATTTTTATTTATTTTTAAATTTATTGCCTCAATTTGTTTTGTACTGCTTCCATACTTAGAGTAAAAACACATTTTCTTTCACAGTTGGTATTTCTGTACTCATTCAACCAACATAAACAAGCAAGAGCTTTGGCTCAATAATAAGCTAATCTTTTTCTTTTGTTTAATTTCCTACTATTGCATTTGTGGAGTAGAAAGTGGGTCGAGATGGAGGTAAAAAGTAGGATAGCTCGGCAGACTTAGAAAAAGGCAGTTTTGACCCAGGCTTGGCCAGAATGATTAAGAAAAAGACAATTTCTCCGATCCTCGTGCTATTTAGCATACCAGGCGGGAATTTTCAACGGCTAAACTCTCCAGGATGATTTGGCAATATTTGCACCGTTAATTGTTCCGTTTAATGATCTACTTATCGCAAATTGTTACTTGATAAAACACGTCTAGACAATTAAATTTTTAAAACAATCCTACAAGGATTTCACAGGAAGAGAGATGTTATCGACAATTAGCCAAATCGGCCTGTGGCTAGCCCATTAACTGCGCAATAGCCAGCCCATAAACAACTAGAAATTACTTTCGTAATTCGTAAAGAATGAGACCGGAACGAAAAGTGTTTATGTCCATGGAGAATGCACATGTATGTAGAGAGAAAAGTGAATTTTCGTCTTTTCACCGAGGGAGAACAACGATTTCGCGTATGCGTATAATAAGTTACATATTTTAAAGTATTACATATTTTTTTGGCTTTCTCTCTCACTTCCAAAAATATTTTGAGCTGGTAGGACTCAAGCTGGCGGAGGCGGTTTCAAAGGCTGACCAAGAACTTCAGAGATCAACGCACTTCGTTGCGTCAGAGTTTGCACAAGAGTAAAAGTCAAACCGGACCAGAGTCGGCCTATCAAAACTGGCACAGCATCCGTGGAAAAAAGCCCGGGGAAATTTCCTTCTCGTCTTCTTCTACTACGGCCCGCTCATTTTGTGATAACTGTCACTAAAACGGCCGTTTAAGCCAATAGAATTTGGGACAACCTTTGCCCGCGAAGTCTCGCACTTTTACATTAGAGAACAACAGTTCTACATTTTGCGTCAGTGTTAACACTTCGAAATCACAGAAACGCCCATTATATTGACATAAATTTATAATTGATTGTGATTCGTACTGTATTAAATATTACTTCTTAAAATTAACTTGATAAAACTATTCAATGGCTTGATGGTGACACCATAAAACAGTTTTGAAACATCCATATCTATATCTTTTCTCATACTTTCCCAAAAAAATGCAAATTACTTTGCCCTTTTAACCTTTGCTTTACAGTTAATAATCGTGACTGTAAAAGACTACGAATTTACATAAACAGTTACATATCAGGTAATTTCATTAATAAATACTATTACAAAGATTTTAGGATTAATTTTTGATTGACACACTTTTCGAAAATAAATTTTTTATTCTTTTCGTGTAAGGTCTTGGTTGAGATGAAAAAGTTAGCGTCACGAGCGGGATTCGAACCCACGACCTTCGGCTCAATACGTCACTGTTCTAACCACTTGTGCTATCGTGACTTCGATCCACTCGGACACCTACTCGCCATCTCAACCTACAGTATTTTCGCATTTTTTCGCATTCTACCTCTTTTTTGCCATTTGTCAAATGTGTAATCAGGATTCGAGTCTCAGCGATTTATGAAAATGGCCACGGCGAGCTGTTAGATTACTTCTTTACTTATTATGTGTAGAAATTAGTGACCGTTAATCGATAGTTATTCAGATATCGTGAGAAGTCCGACCGCATCTCACGATATCTGAATAATTTACTTATTATATTAATCCATTTATGTTTAGTGGTCTAATTGACCATATTAATTACTTCAATTAATTATTCTTTTACTGTAAGTTCTTGGTTCAGATGAAAAAGTCATTGCCACGAGCGGGATGGAAGGAACCCACGTCCTTCGGCTAAATACGCCGCTGCTCCTACACTTGAGCTATCGTGACTTCGATCCATTCGGACACCAACTCTCCATTTCAGCCTATAACCCGAATAGATATCGAAGTCTCGAAAGCTCAAGACCTTTAACCTATTAAGCCGAAGGTCGTGGGTTCGAATCCCGCTCATGTCACTGACTTTTTCATCTCAGCCAAGACCTTACATATAAAGAATAATTAATTGAAATAATTAATATGGACCATTAGAGTACTAACATAAATAGATTAATATAATAAAAAATTTATTTGTTCAAAAATACTGCGTGATTTACGTCATGCTGTTTTAGCACGGGGCTTTTGAAAAAATTATTCAACTAAAATTTCTTCATAAGCTCGTCATTTCCCGTGCTTTAGAAATAAAGTTGTTATTTCTTCTAGGCTCTTACGAGAAATTTTATATTGGTGATGACCTCCCAGGACGAGTCAAACCGTTTGACCTTCAATTTTACCCGAGGATAGTTGAAATATGACAATAATACAAAAATATAAACAAATTCCTGGTTGAGAAATTAATTCTCTTTCACAAAAATAACCATGACAGTTTTGACCCAATATCGCTTTATGTTAAACCGGTAGTGATGAGTGCTTTGCTGGTTTCTATAATACGCCTTTTATTAGTCGTTAAGAAAATTTATTAAACCTCGTGTATATAAAAATGTTATGAGTGTCTAAATTGTTTCAGAGGAGCTATGTGGGAAGAGGCATTCCTCGAAGCGGTCGGTGCAGCTGAGGATTCCGGGGTCTTCAAGTACATCTCGACTGCACGCTTCGCATCTCGTACGCTGGACATTGAGCTAGAGCGAAACACCCAGAGCGTGGTGCCTTACTTCGGCTCGACTTTCGTCATCATGGCGATCTTTTCGACAATAACGTGCATGATGACTGACTGGGTCCGCAGCAAACCTCTTCTCGGGGTCCTCGGCAACGTCTCGGCCGCCATGGGCACCGTGGCCGGATTCGGGTTGGCCATCTACTGCGGGATCGACTTCATCGGTATCAACCTCGTCTCGCCGCTCCTCATGTGCAGTAAGTCGTCTTATCCCGATTCCTCGGATTGTCGATTTACTGATATGTTTCGCTTTAGGCATCGGGATCGACGATACTTTCGTTATGTTGGCGTCTTGGAGGAGAACGCCGGTCACGGATTCTGTAGCGGAACGTCTAGGGAAGACGATGTCCGAAGCCGCCGTCTCGATCACCATCACCTCCGTCACGGACATCATCTCGCTCTGGATCGGGATACTCAGCCCTTTCCCCAGCATCAGGATATTCTGCCTCTACAGCAGTGAGTCCATAAAATCCAACATTAAGCACTCGCAATACCTTTAAATTTCATACATATGATAAGTTAATCGATCGACCTGGACCATTGTACCACACTCCAGGAAGATTTAGAAGTACACACGTTAAATAATAAACCTGTGCTGTAAATGAGCTCAACCACCAATTTCGGAGTTACTTTTAATTTAATGTTACTGTGACATAGTGGCTACAAATCTTGGTTACATCAAAAGACATATCAGGCCTGAAGAACAAATATCTCATTATGGCTTTCTATCCCCGTGGCCATTTAGAAGATTTATTGCTGTCCTCCAGGTATTATTCGACCTCTTACACGGTAAAAAGGATCCAGGGACGAATCTTCCGATATCTTCTTATCTATATGAATATCGATGATAGAAGGGTTCCTCTCTACTCAGAAAGAACCAATCTGACGCGATTGGAATCCTTTTTGATTTTGGCATATTTGACGCTCTTATAGAAAGTTTTAAATGTTATCGATTCCTTAAATTACCTTAAATCTATTTTGTGCAACTCCAATGCAACTCAAGTTTGGAATATTGTTTTTCTCGTATCCCTCATTTCAATTTATACGGTGGTAATGCCGTTCCATTCTGCGACTCTCTGCCTGTCTAAAAGAAAAGTCTTAGAATCGAAAGTTTTCATTCTAATCGTTGTTAATAGCAAAATGTGCATTTTTATTCTGCCGGCGGTTCTGGACGGTCCTAAATGTAAAAAATGATTCTCCGATTCTCATTCTAAACGGACAGAGTTAAGCCAGGTTTTACTGTAATGCGGGTGCTCCAGTGGAATAGCTTTTTTACGTAAAATTCACCCTTTGGCCCAGTGAAAATTAACACTTTTTCGTTCCAAATTAATCAGTTTTAATTCCAAATTGTTTTTTTTTCTTCTTTTCGAATTACCCATTTTAAATTCAAATCATCCCTTTTTTTAAGTATTAAAAAACATAGGAGGTGGTATGAAACAAACATGTAAAAAATTTTCTGTTTATTTGATTTTTTTTAATATAAAATAATTGGGCTGTTAGAAGACAATATATAATTTTAGTTAAAATTATATATAAAAACAAATCATTTCTTTCAATTTGAGATTTTTAAATACAAAATAATTCGGCTCTAAATAATCGTATGAAAATTATTTACAACTTAAATTAAAAATTATATCAAATAAAATTTAATAGTAAAAGATTCTTCTTTTTATTTGAGATATGTAAGAAATTGTGATTTTTAGATCCTAATTCATTTTTTAAATTTCAAATTAGAGGAAAAATCGTTTGTTGTTGTAATTATAATGACTATATAATTTTTTATTATAATGAAAATAATTTGCATACGATCTTCTAAGGGTCAGAGAGAATTATTTTATATTTGATTCTTTTTTTCAAATGCAGGAATTTTACTTTACGATCTCCTAGTTTTGGATATTTAAAAAAAAATTAATTCGAAGTTAAAATGGTTGATTGGAAATTTAACATGGTATTTTGTGCGATAATTAATTTCAAATTAAAAAAGGTAAATTTGGCGCGACCATTAAATTGCAATTAAAAATGATTAATTTAATGCGACAATTAATTGCAAATTATAAAGGGTTTATTTGACTTGGAATTGGGTTAATTTGAAATTAAAAAGGGTTAATGTGATGAGACAATTAATTGAAAATTTAAAAAAGGTTAATTTTACGGGAAAAGGGGTTAATTTGAAATTAATAAAGGTTAATTTCGTACGACAATTAATTTACAATTAAAAGGGTCAATTTGGTCCGACAATTAATTTGCAATTAAAAAGGGTCAATTTGACGTGAAAAGGTGTTAATGTGATGGGATAATTAATTGCAAAGTATAAAGGGTTTATTTAATGCGACAATTAATTTCAAATTAATAGGGTAAATTTTATGAGACCATTAGTTGCAAATTGAAAAGAGATAATTTGACTGGAAAAGGGGTTAGTTTGATATTAATAAAGGTTCATTTCGTACGACAATTAATTTACAATTAAAAGAGTCAATTCGGTCCGACAATTAATTTGCAATTAAAAAGGGTCAATTTGACGTGAAAAGGTGTTAATTTGATGGGATAATTAATTGCAAAGTATAAAGGGTTTATTTGATGCGACAATTAATTTCAAATTAATAGGGTTAATTTTATGAGACCATTAAAGAGTTAATTTGACTGGAAAAGGGGTTAATTTGACTGGAAAAGGGGTTAGTTTGAAATTAATAAAGGTTAATTTCGTACGACAATTAATTTACAATTAAAAGAGTCAATTTGGTCCGACAATTAATTTGCAATTAAAAAGGGTCAATTTGACGGGAAAAGGGGTTAATTTGATGCGATAATTAATTGCAAAGTATAAAGGGTTTATTTGATGCGACAATTAATTTCAAATTAATAGGGTTAATTTTATGAGACCATTAAAGAGTTAATTTGACTGGAAAAGGGGTTAATTTGAAATTAAAAATGGTTACTTTAATGCCACACTTAATTGAAAATTATAAAGGGTTAATTTGACGGGAAAAGGAGGTTAATCTGAAATTAATAGGTTAATCTGATGCGACAATTAATTACAAATTAAAAAGGGTTAATTTGTCGGGAATAGGGGTTATTTGATGCGGCAATTCACTGAAAATTTAAAAAAAGTTAATTTGTCGGGAAAAGAGGTTAATTTGAAATTAATAAGGGTAATTTTGGTACGACAATTAATTTTCAATTAAAAACGGTGAATTTGTCGGGAAAAGCTGTAATAGTTCTTATTTTTTCTATACATACTTGAATTTGCACTGTATTAAGACATCGGGTGGTTGAAAACGAAATGTTTTCACTTGCGTAACTTTTTCGAAAAGTATAGTTGTAAACTTGTTCCTCCTCTGCTTGTCGATCCCGAGCGGAAGTCGTAATGCAGTGTCTGATGTGATGTAACGGAAGAGACAAAGGGGGCGGTCGACAAATCCAACTTGGTTTCTCTTGTTCGAAGTACAACTGTGACCTTTCCGCTTCTTTAATCCTCCGGAGACAGTCGACTTTCGTTCGGACGGACGCGGAACGTGACAATTTCTTTTACAGGCCTTCAACCCATTTTTACACGCCTTTCTTAATTTTTCCTCTTTGCAGGTTTTGCCGTCTTTTTTATTTTCACTTGGCACATCACCTTCTTCGCCGCATGTATGGCCATCTCGGGCTACTCGGAGCAAGAAAACAGACACTCGATTTGCTGCGTCAAAGTCCTGCCTGTGTCTCAATCAGGTAAGAATTTGTTTAAATAATACACAAAGCTAAAAGATAACAGAATACCGCCAAACTACTCTTATTAATAGATAGTTTAGCCGTAAACAACTGTAACGTGCATTTTACATATCTTTTACCAAAGTAAAAGCATATACATATTTGTAAACAAGGTCCATCAATCTATCGTAAGGACTAAGGAGTGTATAAGAGTTGACGTTTCTAATAAGCAAAATGTACGATTTAAGGTCTACGGGACCGTTCTTTATCGTAATGTAGTTTGTAGATGAACAAGAAAGAGACTGCAGTTAAATTCCTGACTTTTAAAACACTTGAAAACAGCAATGAATAAATATAGATGTTGAATAAACAAGTATTCATGACCACTATCGAGCTCAAATTTGGCACGGCCAATTGGGATGTGACAGTCATCTGTTTCGCCAACTCATGTACGCGATTCGGTAGATGACCACGGCCAAAATTAACTCGTGAGTTCAAACAGCCGACGGAAAAGAGAAGATAAATAAAATGCATTTTATTAACGATATGGGACATCAAAACCAAATAACAAGAATACATGGACGTGTACAACATACATCCGTTTAAAGGTTCGCGCATTTGAGAGATTAGAACAATTCCATCTGAGAAGAAGATAAACAAAACTTGGTTCAAACAGTCATCACAGCTTTGAATTTGAACTTAATCAGCTCGAATATTATTCGAATTGAATAAGAAAATAACATTATAATGAAAATTGAATAATCAAACTCAACACAATGAGGTTGCGAGACAGTCACTCTCTGCTGTGGTCTAGAACAAACGAAAATTTAAAATGGCCAAGCAGATACCATTGCAACAAAAGGACTACACATGGCGGTTAATTTTAAAATCTTTAGAAGGGTGATGATCTAATAGCGTAACCAGCGTCCCTCCAGCAGTGTGTGTGCTTACGGTCAATGGCGGAATATTTATAGAAGTACCTCATCACCCTAATTTAGGTTAGGCTATTAATACAGTATATAGGTCCGTGGAGGAATATCCAGTACTCCACCGACTAATCAGATGTGCAATGCATGAATGTATTTATTTGTGCGACTGATTTATCCAATTTAAGTAGTATTAGGCTAGATTATAGTTTGCGTGCGTTTGGGGATGAAATGACCTAGCTGTTGATAGCCCCCTAGCTCCAACCCCTATGGTAGAGAAGCGACGATTTTCTGGGCATTTGGCTAAGGGTGGTACTAGCAGCCCAGCCACTTAATGGTGGGTGGGTGAATTCCCTGATGTTTATGACAGGGTGTGACAACCCTTCGGGGTGAAAGTCTTAAATAAATCTTTAGATAGTAATGTACTCTATAAAAGATATTTTTATAGTAGAAGACAAGGTGAAACGCACAAGCTCTCACTAGGCACAGGTAGTCTCTAGAAAAATAAGCAAAGAAAGATATATAACAAGGCATAAGAGGATGCAGTAAGCGATTCAGAATTGCTTAAGTTTTCTTAATAGTTAACTTCAGATTAACTATTAAGCATCTAAAACATCTAGAACATCTAAAAGATTAGTATTGTAGAGCCCAAAGAATTTATCAGCTTTCAGCACTAGTTCGACAATGTTTCTGCCTTCCAGACAGCCGGGGCTCAACTGGATTAAATCAGACTGTTCTATAATCAACTAAATCAGAGGATTCTCAGCAGTAATACTACAGGTTCTTCTCAACTGCTCTCAATCATCGCACATTCGACTGTCGAAGTAACTGTCTTAGCCCTACGCTCTTTTCCGTCAACTTCGGCTTCTACAATCACACCTCCGCAGTAGAAAAATATTACGGGTTGCAACAGGGCAAATAATAAATTTATACAAAAATAAAAGGCTCAAAGGTTTTTGAGGTTTCTACCCTTTAGACGTTTAAATGTGAATCATAGAAAAAAGGCTAATAGATGTTCACCGAATAAACCGAAATGACCCGATTTCAACATAATTTACGACCTCGAATAAGCTTTCTTTTATGGCAAAATCAGTAAGCCCAATGCGTCGCATCTTTTCTGACATGCCCATCATCATTCTGTCTTACAAAACGCTCATTTTTTCAGACCACAAATAGACATAATGACCATGTCGAATTTTCAGTAAAAGCTCAAGATTTTAACTGCATGTTTTGAAGTTCTTTTTAAAAATAATTTATGGAATAGTAGCAGAAAAGATAAAAACTATGGAAATTTTTCGAATTAGAGTCAACAATATGTCTTAGTCGATAGGTTTTAAATGGACTTCACATATCACAGATTGATATAATTTATTTTGTATCACCAGTGTTAAAAATTAACGTGCATGGGCCATGTATAATCCTTGCGAGGAATGGAAGCTATAGGGAATTGAATGGATCAGCGTTGAGACGCGAGTTGACAGATGAACTCTGGATCAAGGTATGGATCAGGATGTGGTATCTATACATCTTTGCCAATATGTAATAAGCTTTATTCCGCTGGCATAAAAATCGACTCACAATAAAGTCCCGGGAGGCGTTTTCGGCTTCACCGCATTCACTAAAAAAATTATCCCTCAAGAAGTGATCCAAATGCCGAAAAAAAGTGGAAGTCTGTAGGCGAAAGGTCAGGCGAATATGAAGGCTGCGGTAAGGTTTCATATCCTAAGGTAAGGTCTAAGTTTCCTCAGGGTTGGCATTGCGACATTTGGCCTGGCGTTATCGTGAAGAAGAATCGGCCCGTTATGGTTACCAGTGCTGGACAAAGACGGTGCAGTTTCCCGTGCATTTTGTCAGTTTCTTAGCAATATTTCTCCGCTGTGATAATTTCACTATTTCAGGAAATTATAGTAAACAACCCCATCAGTACACAGCCAAACAATTACCATAACTTTTTTGGGTGCAGATTTAGTTTCGGGAAGTGTTTTGGTGCTTCATCCTTGTCCAACCATTGACCTGTACATTCTGTTAACCTGTTAACGCACAGAATCCATTTCTCATCGCACGTGATGATTCGAGCGAGAAATGAATCATTTGGTGGCGCAACAGAAGAGACGTGCAAATTTCAAAGCATCGATTTCTTTGGGCTTCGATTAGTTCGTGCTGTACCCACTTGTCTAGCTTCTTTACTTTACCAATTGGCTCCAGATGGCTAACCACGGTTGAGTTGTCACCCTTGTTGTCTTATTTGAATTTTCTTCAGCCAACGTTTTGTATCGGTCGTCGTCCACAACGGGTCTACATCGACCTTCCATGTCTTCGAGATCGAAATCTCTGAAACCATCGCTGCATCGTGCATTCGCTTCCCTCCCCCCAAAACTGTATTGAATTAGATTTGAGGAATTACCTTTGTTTACATGAAAAGCACCTGCGAAAATAAAACAAATTTTCAAAACCTGCGTTAATTTTGCACCAGCTCAATAGTTCGCACCATGCGTGTCTTGTCATAGCGCCCTTCTTTTCTGGCACGTGAATTGCACAAGTGTAGTCTTAGACTGTCTGGTAAGTACTGAAAATTGTTAAGGTCTACGTTAAACTTCTTTACAAGTTCTACCCGAGCTTATAGCTGCTACGTCGTCTTTAAATTGGGGTATTGTGACGTTTTGATGTGTCTAAAAGTTACTTATGTAGACAAGATAAAGAAATGGTCCTAGCACGCTGCCTTGTTAGACTCCAAAATAAATAAAGCAAAAATCAGAGAGTAAATATTTTACTACCGGTATTTTACTTCAAACTTTCAGTCTGTAAGATGGTGATGAATGATGACTGATGAGTTTGTAGAAAGTGTCTGAGTTTGTGTTGTGGCGACCCTGGTACACCCACTGACTTGCGACCGAACAACAAGTCTTTCCATGTTGATCTTGTTCACCTTTTGTAATCTATAAATTTACAGTATGTACAATACACTATTCTACTTGTTATAAATCTTTTATTTGTATTCCTTTCGTATCCGCTACTCTACGCTTGGTCTTTCCGCCCAAGAACGATCTGGTGACCTGTGTTTCAGGCAGATGTGATTAATTGGTGGTGACACCTAGTGGATAACAAGGTATCTGCAGGTGATCATAGTGTAATAACTCTGAAATTCATATCTGTCATTTATTGTGCCGAAAGAAAATCCTAGAACCTTCTTTTTGTGCAAGTGTTTAGTATGGTGTCGATTGCAGCTGTTGGGTGTAAGAGAGATGTTGCCTAAATCCAATTTGTCAAGGTTTGGTAGTAAGTTTAGATCTACGTCCAATTTTACATAGCAGAATATCAAGGAACTGACAATAAAACATTTTTTAAATTATTTTTCAAGTTCTAAAAGATTGTTTTTAAACATAGAAAACCAAACATTTGATATGTTGATTCACTTGTGTATTTCCCTCAGAAGCCATCATCATTTTCCAGCCGATCAACCCATCTTTTTCTTTTTCCCTATTTAAATGTGAAGATAGATGGGGATCGGCATATTGGGCCGGTTGGGTCCGCTCGTGAAAGCCGCGTGTGGTCGAAGGCCGGTTGTTACAGTTACCTAATCGTTCATAATCGGTGGAAATATCGTAGAAAGACCATTGCGTCAGCTTTATGAGGCCAAAGAAATTGACTTTCTCCCAGACGAGACGCCCACGCCGCGTCAGCTTGCTCATCTTTATGAACACCCAATGGCAAAAAACACTATCCTCTGTGATGTTCCCTGAATGGAAATGGGATAAAAAAACACAAGGGTCGGCCCTTCGATATCCAACAGTCTGCTATTGAACGGTGTGGTCGTAAAATATTGTAATTATATTTTGTTTTCTCTTTGTCTATCAGGTAGTAATAAATCATCTCGAATTTATTTGCTCAACTTTAGAAGTATTTTTTGACAATGATATACTGTAAAAGCCAAGATTATTATGTACTATAGGATAATAACCATTAGTTGCCTTCTCCTATTATTGTATTTATTTATTTTTGTATCCTGTATATGAATTACATACCTTACATATTGTCCTAATGGTATAAAAATGCTGGGCATAACACTAACATTACTGCCAGAAAGGCCAATGCTGGCACTCTATTTGTTATCGGATTCAGGCGAGGAGGACCATCGACAAGGGACCATTGTCGTCTGAGGCGACGTGGAGGGTTTTTGGTGTGGTAAGAAATAGAGAGGGCTTGAGCAGTAAGGTTAGGATGTGTTCAAAGATTAGAGTGAAACTTGTGGAAGCAGGGAATGTTAAAGTCTTTGTGGATAGTGAGATGGAGAGATAGTAAGGAGATTGGAGAATTCGTCTGAGGACTTTTGGTTGGACAGCTCGGGTACGTTGGATGTTAGATGGCTTCGTGATACCCCACAGTTACGCAACGCACGTCCAAACAGGTCGAAGTAATGTTTGGTATAGAATTAGTTTGTTCTTTACTGTCATGTATAATTTTGGTACTTCGTAGTTGTCCATATCTGTATACGTCTTTTTAGTTCTTGTAGCTTGAGTCTTGTGTGAGTATTCCATGTCATTCTACTATGTATAGCCCTAAGTATTTTACTCATGTAGATGTCCGTAGTTCTTTATTGTTGACGTGGGCTGTTTAGCGTGAATGTAATTTCAGTGCATATATTCTCGTTTAGCTTCGTTTTCCGCGTTTTGCACTATTTTTCAATAAACTCAAGATGTTCCTGGATTCAGATGGCTTGAGTAGGATTGGAGTTAGGAGATGAAATAGCAGTATCGCCTACATAGATTGTAAGGCTGGTGCTGGGATATCGGCAGATCAGCAGTATAAATTGTGCATAGGATGGGACCCAGAATGCTCCCTTGTGCGACGCCGGCCTGATCGGTCTGACATCGGAAAACTCCTTGCCACATCTGAAGCAGCGATCGGTCAGATAGGATTTTAGGATTGGGTAATAAGGGATGGATAGGAACTGCTTTAGTTTGAAGAGAACCAGAACCTATGTACCTAGATGTCCAGGAATGCTCTCGAGCAGTACTCAGTTTACTAAATCAGAGGAAATAGATACCCTGAAACATTTCTGAATCGTGAAATGACGAGGACGGAAACCAAATTGGTAAGGAATGACATTATGGAAATCTAGGGTGTGTATCAGGCGCTTTTTTTATATGCTAAATTTTTCATTTAATCAAACAAACATAAACCCCATAAATATTCTTATTCTAAACTTTACAAATATTTTATTAATTTCAAGTCATCTTTTGCAAAAGAGATTTTGGTAAAATAAATCGCACAATGTTGTTTGGTCGTCCTCGATGATTTTGGTCTGCTTATCCTAGTGGTTTTGGTTGCCAGACGTATTTCGAATTTTCGCTAACTTCAGTGTCAAAAAACCACATCACTGGAGATAGCGAGACCAAAGCATATAGGAAAGAAAGAACAAAATGATTAGGTAAGACCGACTTTTGTCCGACTGGATTGTCAGGAAATCCGACCAAACTCCATGAACCAAGATTTTTAATGAATTAGGAAATCACTATTTTACTGTTTATCGTGAAGTTGTTTTCATAAAACTTGGGTAGTCCATCTGGGCTTTATTTGTAAATGTCAAAAAAAAAAAAAAATTAACGTATTTACGATACTCTCCAATTTTCATTGTTAAGGCTCGTTTTATTGCTAACATCAAAAACGACATGCTGAGTTCCCTAATTATAGAAATATTTCTTCGTTCACTTATCATGGTCGTTTCCGATCTTATTGGTCCGTTTGACCTCGCTGGTTTTTTTTTTTTTTTTTTTTTTTTCTAAGCTACACCGTTTTCGGCTTCTCGCCATCTTACGTGGAGGGTTTGTGGATTACTTAGAACAAAATAAACCTTTACTTTGTACTTTAAATTAAGGCAGTAACGGATTAACATATCCTCCGCCAAGTTCAGATAATCAATTTAATTCTAAATATTTCAATGGATTAAGAAATTTCTTGTTGCGGTCTGAGGATCGATGCAGGTCGTTTCTTTTCTCCCCGGTCCGCCCAGCCTCGATGTTTTCGTCTGTCACTTTTTACCTTTTTTTAACCGGGGTTCAGCCCCCACTGTATGACCAATGGGTTAATCGATATTCCGCCTCTCTTTAATCGCACACTCACAATAATTTAATTATTTACAAATATAATATATACATGAACAAATAAAACAAACATATACACATAGACGCAGTATAAACAATTTTTGCATGTGAGAAAACAACTCGTTTTTTCTTAAGAACAGGGGACCCAACGTTTGATCCGCTCACTCGAGTACCATCTTCATGTGAGGGCTCATGCCTACTAGCTCCCTGTAAGGGGCCAATGCGTAGCAATCTTCGTATCTAATATGTTCAGTTTGATTTTGCAGTTCAGCACCATCTTTGAACTAATGATATTTAAACGTAGTGATTATTTAGAGATCGTCAGATGCGGTGTGGTGTGACGTAGGTTTAGAAAAACACTTTCTTTATCGTGCCAACGTTTCGATCTTTACTGAGATCATCTTCAGGGCCTGGGATTTATAAACATTGTTTAAATTATACAAATACGTGTAAGATGTGAAAATGAATTTATGCAATAATAGAAATTTTAGGTTTAATCAAATTATTTGTACTCACTCAAAGTGTGTGTTTTCTGTGTATATATGTCACGGTTGTGTCGTGTTTGAGAGTGCCAGTGAGATATTAATGTTTTTTGTATATGTACGTTAGATTTTGAAGGAGTGGAGAAGGATGAAGGGATAGAAATCCATTTTTCTATGAGGAAAATCTCTACATTTGAACAAAAATATAAATAATCTAAATACCACACATTTAAACTTCGTGCTTTGATGACTGCTTGGCTATCTCATATGTCAGATATTTTCTTGTTTTTGTTTTTCATCGTAATTCAAATATATTTTGATTGATTTATTATATCATCTCGGAAAAAGAGAGTGCATATTTTTAAATAAATAAAAATATTAAACTTATTTTAAAAAGCTAAAAAAAAATTTTCGCCCGAACAGGGACTCGAACCCTGGACCCTTAGATTAAAAGTCTAATGCTCTACCGACTGAGCTATCCAGGCGTCGATACGAACCGCTTTATACTCCTATCTAAGTGACTCATAACTATTCTCCTTCTGAAGCGACACGTTTTATGTAATATTTAATTATTTCGACCGACTTTTAATAAATTTTCGAAATCTGGCCGATTTCGCTTAACGTTTTTAAATTGAAAAATGTTCAAATTTGTATGAATTTATTCAAAAGATTTTTTTTGAGCTGAAAGAACAGATTTTCAACACAAACGGTGAATATGAATAATTCCAAAGCACATATTCCATTGTACAACCAGTGAACTCACCTTATGCCATAATTAAAATATTTTTCTTCTTGTTTTATTTCCAAAATGTAGACAAGTTTGATTTGTTTTTACAACATTATTTGGAATAATATGACTCGATGATCTACAAACTTTGTTTAAAAATAGATATTGGAATATATTTATCATTAAAAAAAATTAACAATAGGGCTCAGCCCCTTTAAGGGGGTAGAAAACTATAAAATAATTAAATAACAAAAAGGTTACAAAATATATTACAAAAAATAATACTTAATAAACAAAATTTGTATGGTATTAATAGAGCCAAATCTGTTCCCAATCTATTCCTCTCTATCTTTAATGAACGCTTAAAAAAAGGCATTTTTCCAAAGATTTGAAAGGAATCAAAAATAATAATAATAAGCGGGGTCATCCTCACCCAATTAAGAATAGGCCAAGCAACAAACTTTTGGGCCAAAGCCTGCATGTCTGGCATGTAGAGATGGGTTGCTTGGTCTGTCCCACCAAGTTGGAGGATGCAGTTCCTTGGCTCCATATAGAGAGCGTGTAGGAATACTACCCAATGGGAGAATTGTTGCTGAGCATCCGTTGTTCCACTAATTTAGAGGAAATAGGTTGTTTTATTGTACATAATACTGATAGTTTTGTGTCCCTAGCATTGAGAGTAAATGTATTTATTGGTGTGAATGTGTGGTGTAAGAAGGTTGATGGTGGAATTGAGTACCCTGTTGACCCTCAATTTGGCTAGTTATTTATAATAGGTGTAAAGGGTGATGGAGAAGTTCATCACCATGCTAATTTTATTTTAAGGGGATTTTTATTACTTTCTGTTTTACAATGAAAGAAAAAATCCCACCTGCTATTTAAGAAAAACTTACCGCTTTCAGAATATTTTTACGTTTATTAGGTAGAAAATATTAAAGAGGACAGATTGTGAGACTGATTATTTTTGTGTTTCAAATAACTCGCATTTTCCAAAACTCGACTATTTTGAACAATTTTTTTTTTTAGGAAAGGCAGAAAAATACAACTACAAAATTTTGGAAATAGGGTTCTCAAATAATATGTCGATTATTTCAAAAGAATTCAATTGTGTCAATTTGTCTTTGAGCTGGAAATTTAAATGAAATCTGAATCAAATTTTCGTCCTTTGCTTTTATTTTTCCCTCGTGTTCTTATCTGCTTAATTTTTCAAATATACAGATTTATGCAATATTCTTCAAATTATGAAATGTGAACCATTGTACCTCTGTGGATGATTTGGATAAATCATCGAATGATCACCATTATCGTAAGTGTTAACAAAAAGTGTATACAACTCCGGACTCTAATCATAACTATTTTTGATTTTTAAAAAAATTATATTTGGTACTTTGAAAGGCTATCTTCATTAGGTTATGAAGTTGACTTTATAATTGTTTATAGTTTGGCATTATTCTTGTCTAATAAAGAATCAATATAGGCATGATTGATGGTACTCTAGATCAAATCCATTTTGGGAAAATAAATAAATAAATTTCTTTAAAAGATAATTCTTACTCTCAGTTTGTTACAATTTAACTTAACAAACAACATAATAACCCAATATTTAACTTTCTAAGAAATAAATTGTCTGAAAATGTTTTCACAATTCATAATTTTTTTCAGGTGACAAATCATGGTTGTACAGGGTGTTCTGTGCCGGAGGGATCAATCCGAAAGACCCCAACAACCGTCTTGACAGCCCTGGAAACATGCTCATGAATTACTTCAGGTACAATATTTTGCCATTTGTATTTTATTTTATTTTTTCCTTCATATATTATTATTACTTTTGTTCATCCCTGAATGAAACGTTTCCAGAGATTCACTTGCACCCTGTCTTTCATGGTGGCCTGTCAAAATGTTTGTTCTGATAACATTCATCCTCTACCTCATCGGGGCCTGCTACGGGCTAACGACGCTCCAAGAAGGCCTGCAGCGTAGAAAGCTTTCAAAGGCAGACTCGTATTCGATCATCTTCTATGATAGAGAAGACTTCTACTTTAGAGAATTTCCTTATAGGATGCAAGTATGTCAAATTCAGCCATGAATCTGAAATAATTAAAATAAAATAAATATTCATAAATATTCATCTGGATGGTTTCATGAATCAATTCTAATTCCATCCAGATTTATTTCTCTGTACAAATTATTTGTCCAATATTTAAAAAATTCGTCTTTTTTTTCCTAGGTTGTTGTGAATGGAGATTTATATTTTTCTGATGTGAAAACTCAGGAAAAGATTGAGAATCTCACTCAAGCTTTTGAAGCATCTCCGTATATCTCAAATGCACTTTATACTGAATCTTGGCTCCGTTCTTTTATCGGCTACATAAATAGGAATAAAGAGTACCTGAACACTTCGATTGACACTGAGCCAGAATTTATTGAAGCTCTAAATGATGTAAGTTCTTTTCTCCTATATGCTATTTATATATCCTATAGGGTCTTTATTTATATAAAATTACAAAAAACATTATATTTATTTTTTTCAGCTGTGGCTTTTCAAGCCAAACCCATTTTCTCTTGATGTGAAATTCAATGAGAACAAAACGAGAATAGTAGCAATGAGATTCATGGTACAGGCAGTGAATATCAGTGATGGAAACATGGAGAAAGATATGGTCAGGGATTTGAGAAGAATAGCAAGAGAGTCAGATCTCAATGTTACCGTGTTCCATCCTTATTTTGTCTTTTTTGACCAGGTTGGCACTATTTGGATTGTAAACATTTTAAACTATTATAACTTGATTATTATTTTTTATTTTATTTTATTTTTTTTTTTTTTTCAGTTTGAACTTGTAAAGCCGACATCCATCCAATCGATGATAGTAGGAGCTGTGATTATGATGATAATTTCTTTTATCTTCATTCCAAACTTTATATGTTCTCTGTGGGTTGCGTTTTGCATAGTGAGCATAGAGACGGGAGTCGCCGGGTACATGGCTCTCTGGGACGTCAACTTAGACTCGATATCCATGATCAATCTAATTATGTGCATCGGATTTTCAGTAGACTTTACCGCCCATATATGCTATGCTTATATGTCATCTAAAGCAGAGACCTCAAATGAAAAGATTAAAGAGTCACTATATGCCCTCGGTCTCCCGATATTTCAAGGAGCGATGAGCACGATACTCGGCGTCATCGCTTTGGTCTTAGCAGACAGTTATATTTTCTTTGTATTTTTCAAAATGATCTTCCTCGTAATACTGTTCGGAGCTTTGCACGGTATGTTCCTATTGCCGGTTCTGCTGTCGCTCTTTGGCCCCGGGAGCTGCAAGAGGAAAAAAGTCGACTTAGTGATCGCCGAGAAATTTCCTCACCCGTACTGCATTCCGCATCCTCAGTTCAGCAAGCATATGGTCACTTACGAAAGCGATGCCCTGCCTGGGAAATATATTACGGATGACAGAGACCTAGGCCTCGGCACCTCGGGGGAAGACTCGAGCGAGTCGAGCTCGTCCAAGTCCCAGAGAAGGCAGGTCGAGGACGAAGACGAGCGTCAGAGGCAAAGATACCTCGACGGCTGGAGGAGGCCGTCGCACATACGTTCTCACTCATACCACAACGGCGGGTATTTGAGTGACGAGGATGTACGACCTTGGAGACGTTCCTACGACCACCGCTTCACATGAAACCTCCTGTTGTATTACCTGTGCTCAATGACTGATAGAACTTTCGAGACTCGAAGGTCGATGTTGCTCTAGTGCAACTATAGGGTTACTTATTTTGATTTGTATATAATTTATTACTTTTTGCATCTTAGTAAAAAGTGATTAATTTTTTTTTATTAAAAAAATGTCTTGTATATAAATATTGTCTAGTGCCTATTTTTATATGTGATGAATGTTTTTATTTTAATTTTAGCTGTGACCTCAAAGAATTGTCAAAATACAAAATACACAACTTTTGTAACATAGAAATTAAAATGTTAAATAGGAGAAAGATTCAATTTTTAAAAGAGTTATATTGTAAATAATTACTCTCTTTGTAGAGTACCTATTGATCGTTGAGACTTGTTCCATCCAGTTGGGTTTTTATTATATTTTTAATTAGTGAGAAAGATGCGTCAGAACTGGAAGAGAGGACCAGGACAGATTTTACTAATATTTACATTTGTTCTCCTTCTTTATCAAAATATTTTTGAATATCATCTATTCAAGAATTCTGTGCATTTTATAATTTAACATTATCAAAAAAATAAATTGTGTATTATTTTGTTTGTGGTGTTACTGTATTTTTTCCCAGTTTTTCTCTTTGAAAGACCATCATTTTTAAAATTTTGAAAGATTGAATAGAAAAACGAAAAGATTAAGATTCATTTGAGATGGCTGAAGAGCCTGCACTGTCTAGCTGCAAACTTCAGAAAATCAGTCATAAGATGTCTTTTTTTGTACCCAAAACCCTCAATATCCAATAATGTGGATTCATGATGAACATGGCAATTTAATTTTACAACAACAATCCTTAACAAACCCAATATACAGATTTATACACAAAACCCAAAATCTTTCATCATAACATTCGACGAGCCATTGTTTCTTTTGGACGAGAGGACAAATGCATTTTCCAAATTATTCTCAAATATAATTCCACTGTGCCTTCGGGTAAAAAAATAAAGTGCTCGAGGTGAATTCTAACCCCAAGTGCGAGGTGGATATAGATTTTTCCGCAGAACTGTAAAGCGATGTAAGGGTTTTTATCCACATCATCCCAATGCATCTATAGAATGTGAAATTTTCAAATGTTAAAAAATGTAAAGTCTAAAAGCACTCTAGACCAACGTTCCCAAACTTTTTTGACCCATGGACCCCTTTTTATAGTCAAAACCCCCGAGTGAAAAAGCCATAATATAAAAAAATAAAATAAAATAAAAATTTCTAATCGGTTTCTTTCTTTTGTGATTTGCTTCAAAACGGCAATGAATCCACGTTCTACCAAATAGAAAGACGGGAAAGCAGTCAACAACTTCTGTACAATAACCCATAATGCAGGATATAAAATTGGGATCTGTTTTTGTAACCAGAATTTATGGTATCCCTGTTCAAACATTGGATTAAGTTCCTCATTTGTGGATATTTCAATAAGCTGCTCCTGTATTAGTATGGATTCATCTGTGTTTGGGAGCTGAGTTTGTCCACGCGCAAAAGGGTTCAACACCGAGTCGGGAATATCCAAGAATATCTTCAAATCTTTGGATGAGGTCTGTATGAAGAGATGTTAAGTGTTGAGAGTAAGCAACCAAATCTTCACCTCTAATTTGCAATTTCAAAAGATTTGGAAATTGAGAGCATTCTCCTCTTCCCAAGTTTTGTTTGTAAAGAAAAAATTTTACAAAAAACGCAGATATTAAGCTTTTAGTTTTATTGTTTTATTTAATTGGTCACCTTGTCGTTTCAAATTAGTTTCGTTAAATCAGACATTTAGGCTATGTCATTTTTTGAGTTAATTAAATTGTCGCAAATCATTGTCTGGTTTCCAGGAATTCCAACATTGAATCAAAGAGTGCATAAAATCGATTTAAACATGCACTTTTAGAAAACCAACGTACTTCTGTTTTATATTATATTATTTTATATTATTATTTATATTATATTATTTTATATTAAACCTTGCGCGGACCCCCTGACCTTGTTCAGAGACCCCCAAATCAATTTTAATTTTCCGCGGACCCCCTGAATGATACCAGAGACCCCTGGGGGTCCGTAAGGACCACTTTGGGAACCACTGCTCTAGACCATAATCAAAGCAAGGCAAAAAAATCCTTAGGGTATGTCAGGATTTGAACTTAGAACCTCTAATATGGTACTACAAGTCTGATCCTCAAATGACTCAGCACCACAAAACCCTTATTTGGTCTTATTTTAACGCAATAAACTTAGGTTTTTTTTTAAGAATTAAAAGAAGAACTTAGAAAAAAAAATTCTATTTTACTCCGTACTGACTTTTCAATCTGTCAATAAAAGGTTGAGGGGGCATCGGTGGCTGCAACGGTTTAGGCGTTGACACTGCGCTCATCACTGTAAGGTAAAGGTCCTGGGTTCGAATCCAGCGGCCCTGCATTCGAACCCGACATGCTTACAAATGGGCTTTTTTTTTCAAAAGCACCGGCACCCCAAGGGTTGATATAATCTCTGCTGTTGCGAACCCTTGTAAAAAAAAAAATAAATAAAATAAAATAAATAAAATAATAAAAGGTTGTTTGTACATAAATACAGTACTTATTAAAAATTTGTGTTTTACACATAATTGGTTGATGATGTGAAAGGGATTTTTGAGTGAAATATTTATTTTTGATTCGATCAAAGTCAAAGAGGGAGTGAGTAAAGTAAATTTTATAACAATCATCAATAATGACGGTTACTGTTCAATTTGTTGAACAAACTGGAAGGATAAAAGAAAAAATGGGCTATTTGAAGGCGTTATCATCGGTTGCTGGAATGGCTGATTTACTAATGGGAAAAAAAGATCAGAGACTCTTCAGCTTCACTTTCTGTTTTTCAGACCTGGTTAGCCCAAACCATAAATTCTTTCATTAATTTTTAACATTAACAAAAAAAAAAAAAAGTAAAATGTTATAATTGATCTGTCAAGAAAATTGAGCGTTTTGTTCTTCCTTTCTATTTTGGATTACATTATGAAAGGCAGCATAATGATTCATATGAAACCCATCATTATTTATAGGGTTTTTATTATAATACATTTTTACAAGTTTTTATTGTTAAAAATACAATAGTGCCTTTGTTATTTGTGTGACAATAGATGCCCTTTTTTGTTAATAAGATTGAGAATTTTTCTTATTTTTTGCTCAAACCAAATAATTCAGTAGACAAAACTTTATGTTAAAATGGTCATAGACTGCATGCAGTAAAAAAATTAATTTCAAAAAACTGATTCATATAAGCTCAATTCCACACATGTTTGTACAAAACAGAACTTATTTATTTAACAACACCCGCGTTCATATAATTTCCAATAAATTACCGACAGTGAGAATCTTCTACTTGGGTTTTGGCAATACGAGGTCTTGTCTGCCCCGCCATCAAAATTAGGCTACAGCACCATGTCAACGACTAAACCGTTGCGGCCATAAAGCCTTGATAACTGACAAAGTCACGAAAAAAAGTTTATTACAAAAATCCCAAAAAGTCTTGGTTTTGATGGAAAGATTTCAACCATCCGTTAATCTTGTAACATTTTTCTGTGGCCTGCTGAGTGATGAATCTGTAATTTGGTCATTGATGATCATTTTCACCTGCCTATTCTCGATATTTTGGTCTGACAGAACAAAATGAATCAATTATGAAAAATATAATAACTGTAAAGTTTTCTCAGTATATATGATTTCGAATCCCATTAAATTATGTTTTCAAAGATTGCTGGGTTTTTTTTAAGTCCTTAAGTATATGCATATTTGGTTAAAATAAATAAATCAGATTTTTTTTATCGTAGAAAACAATACTTTGTTCCAATATTTCATTTATTTATGAATAAAAATAAAATGTTAACTAACTCCAAAGTGCAATATGTTCAGCTGACAAAAACATCAGAACACTAATTCTTGAACATTATTATGTAATCAGGTCTAAAATAAAAGAGATCTTTTGATTCACCGACACCGGCTGAAAATGACAAATGTTAAACATGAAAACATCAGTGATTGTGATTTTATCTGCGCTTCTTATATACCTAGCGGCTGGATTTCTGTGTTCAGTTATTACAAAAGTGTTGGTTTTGTTTGGTATTGGTTTGCTATTATTTTACTATTTCAGACCGCAACCATGACAACGAAATTTGTGACAGATTAGCACAAGTAGGCTCAAAATTGTACAAGTGAAATACACCTCTTAAGAAAATGATATCAAATTTGAAGTTACTTTCCCGATTTAAATATTTAGAGGCACATAGGTAAACTATTTATATCAAAACTAAAAACTTAATTATATTATTTGTAAATGCATAACATACTTTTGTCGGAAATATGAAGGAAACACTAACCAAACCTACATTGAATTTAATTTTTAAAGTTTCAGGGCATTCAATTTTTGGGGAACGAAGAATCCCGATGGACAAAATCAGAACTCTATCAAGCAGTGCTTTGATCAGGTCAAAAAGCCATGCCTATCCAGCAACGGCGACTCGGGCAAACTGAAACTGGGCAATAATTGTCCCAAAGTGATCATTATAGGCGCAGGAATGGCCGGGCTCACCGCAGCATGTCATCTTCACTGCAGAGGCATCACTGACATCACTGTCTTAGAGGCCAGTAACAGGTAACTAGTTCGAAAGGAATAATTTTATTTTTGTAAAACATCCTTCAACATTCTCTTTCATATAAACTATTTTAAGTTTTAAAACTGTAAATGGGAAAATATTTTTATCATTCAGTGCCTTTAGTTTAAAAAAAAAAGTTGAGCGTTTAATATTTAAAAATATATTTATATTTAATTACCTTATTTTTCAGGATTGGGGGCCGAATAAACACTTGCTGGATGGGAGATGCTACAGTAGAACTCGGCCCTAGTAGAATCAACGGTGCGTCACTTGCAAATCCGGTTTTCAATCTTGCCAATGTGGCCAAAGTCCTCCAACCAGAAGACTTTCAGGAGAGCAGACAGCTGAAGAAAACCCTCTTTCTTACCAGGGATGGTAGGACGATATCAGAATACAAATTGGAAGAAATGATTTTCAACCATATTCTACACCAGGGGAAGAAATTAGGAAAGAACCAGTTGAACCAGTTAAATCCGAACAAGGGCAATCTCATGCAATTCATCAGCCTTCGAATACAACAAGAATTGTTACAATTTCCTCCTGCATTGAGGTACGACTCTGAGAGGATTTTATATGGCCTTGTTAATGGACTTAAATCAGTTTATGGAGCAAACCTTAGCCAGGTCAGCGCACAGGCGCTAGCCAATTCTGGATCGCTACCTGGTCCAAACATTAAAATTTCAACTGGATTCAATTCTATCTTTACCCCTTTGCTGATCAACATCCCTGAGAATAAAATTATTTTGAATAAACCGGTAACTGAGATTGCCATTTGTATGAAACAGTACCTAGGAAGTCGTGTGATAGTTAAAACCGCAGACTGCGAAGAGTATGAGGGCGACTTTGTAATAGTCACTTTACCGATTGGAGTCCTTAAAGCAAAAGCAGACACATTGTTTAGTAATGAGTTACCTGAAGAAGTTAGTACGGCAATTAATAAGATTGGTGTAGGTCACATCAATAAGGTTTATTTTGAATACAGTTCACCCTGGTGGTCACCCGGAAGCGGTACGATAAAGCTCGCATGGTCAGGCGATGAATTGAGTTTTAGAAAAGACTGGACAAAAGGAATTGGAAGAATATGCGAGGTGCTTGGATCAAAAACAGTCCTAGGCCTGGTCACCGGAGGCGACGAAGCTCTTCTTTTGGAAAGGACCTCCGAAATGGAGATAGCCATCGAGTTCACGAAATTCTTGCGAAAGTTCACCGGCGACAGCTCGATCCCTTACCCGCAGAACGTTTTGATGTCGCGTTGGGGCACCACCCCGGAATCACTCGGCAGCACAGTCTTTATGTCAACCGAGACGACCGTCGGGCACTTCAAAACCTTGAGCAGCGATGGAAAATGCCCTGTGAACGGGGTTCCCCATCCTCTCCTATTTGCAGGAGACGGCACAATACCGGAATATTTCGGAACAATGGTCGGTGCTAGGAAAAGCGGCATCAGAGAAGCAGATCGTATAATCAAATATGCAGCAACCTTGTGTGAAAAGAAAGACTACTCTTCTAAACAAAATCGAAGTACTGCTCATTGCTCAAATTAACTATTTTAAACTTGGCTGCTAATTATTTCTCGTTTTCAAGATGAACAAGATAGTCTTGTGTTCATAAATTATATAATTAAATTTAATTAGTTTAGTTTTTGCTTTTTTATTTGAAAAACTTTAAAAGAAGTAGTTTGGAAAATATTCATTGATCTAATTCACTGAAATTAAGTTAAAAATTGCCTCAGCAATGTGTAGAAAAAAATCATACACACCTTACATACATATTTGCCTTTGTGCACTTGTCTAAATAGTTAAATTCAAAAACGTAGTTAATAATCCCTTGAAAAACAAGAAAATTGTCTATTGGGTGGGCTAAGATAGGTCACAAGATCATCGTTTTAAATTGTGGAAAAGATATTGAGTAAAAAGTTAGGGCTAGTGGGTTACGGTGGAGGGATAGTTTAGAATGGAAATTGAGGAAGCATGTGCAAATAAGATCTTTCACGAAAGGGATTTTAAGATCTTTATGAATCGTTTGATTGGTGATGTAGAAGAGAGCATTGAGGGAATGGCAGATAGGTTGAATTCAACCTTGACGATTTGGCTGAGCCCCACAGTTCGACTCCGTAAGTCCAAATAGGCATGATCAGTGTATTGTAAAAGTTTAGTTTGTTATGCTTGCTTAGTGTTGATTTTGGATCCAGTGGGTGTTTGAGTAGTCTACATCATTCGTTAAGTTCTTGTCGTTTTAATCTTGTACATGGGTTCTTTGTAAGTCTGCTATCTAAGTAAAGGCCAAGTTAGGGGACTTGATTCAATGGTGGTATTATCTTGCTGTTGTGCGCAGGTGGTCAGGTTTGACATTTGAGCTTGGCATTTTTGCTCATTCAATCTGATCTGCCACTGATGCACCAGTCGGTAATGATGTTCAGATGTTTCATTGCTTCTGTGGCTAGGATAGGATTGGAGTGTGTTGATAAAATTTCTATAGTTTGCGTAGGTTGTGAGTTGTGTGTTTGGATGTATGGGTAAGTCAGTCGTGTAGATGGTGTAGAGCATTGGGCCTAGGATTCTTCCTTGTGGAACACCAGCTTTGATTGGCATGATGGGTAAAAAATCAGAGTTGATTCTCACTTTAAACCATCGATCCGAGAGGAAGTTAAGATAGTAGGTATGAGGGAGGATATGTTTCAACTTATAAAGGAAGCGGGTGCCACACTTGGTTAAATGCTTCTGTAATGTACAGAAATACAGGTTTTCTACAGTCTGATCATGATGTCATCAGAGAGAGGATATCTCGACTTCTCTGAAGCTCTGCTGAACAATGGAGAGATCGGAATCCAAATTGATGGTTTGGAATTAAGTTTTCAGAGTTGAATATGGGAATTTGAAGGAAGAAAATGGCATTATTATTTTTATTTACAAGTTGACAAATATAATCTAGACTATTGTGGAAAAAATAATTTCTTAATTTACACTTATGATTTATTTATTTTAGAGCAAATTATATATAAAGAAATACTGATACATAAAATATTCTTACAAGAAATTCCTAATTAAGTATTAGTACAAAGTAATTGCTCATAAAGCAAGAGGATAAGAAGATAAAAATTATTTAAAGTGAATAAAAATTAAAATACAGAACTTTGTACCTTTGGAGTACTCTGCTAGAAATAAATAAATAGACCAACATCTCGATTCATCACCTTATCATAAGTGTCTTTTTTAGAACTGACAAAAACATTAAACTGTTCGTAGCCTCTAGAGTCCAGTTCTTCGCTCGTATCTCTAATTTCAAAGTTAATGAACTTGAGGTAGTGGTGGTTCATCGCCGGGATGCACACCTTGGTCCCGTACGGCAGATGGAGTTTATGGTCGACCGCAAGCGTCACATATTTAAAATCCTTGTACAGAAAATCCTGGGGGGAAAAATCAGAATTTTTATGAGATTTGTCCAGACTTTGGGGACATGAACTGGTAATTTTGTTGTTAATGGTTATTTTGGTTTGTCAGATCGAATCAGCAAGAATAGGCAGATTAAAATGATCGGTACAGATCAAATTAGAAAAACAAGAAATGATTGCTGCACATTAGTGGTTTTTCAGGGTGACTGCAGTGGCCGAGTGGTTAAGGCAATTCGTGGTTCTGGGATTGAATACCCTAAATAAAATAGACCACAAAATTTTAATAAAAATTGTATGAAAAAAGCAGTTTAGCCCTTTGTTCACTACCCTATGGTTAGCTGAATCCCCTGTATGATAGGACTTATTTTACTGTTACTGTTTTATAATATAAATTAATTTTTGTCATTTTATCAAGTATTTTACATTAACTTGCTGATCAAAGAACAGATCCATCTCTAATAAAATTTGGGAAAGACCGATTACCTGGAGTGAAGAAAGCATGTGGTTGTGCATATCAATCGGATAATCGTCCGTCAAGTAGTCGATATAGTACGGCACCAAAGTTGAATTTATGTGGTTACCGCCCGGTGGGCAACTGAGGTCCTCCAGGAAGTCGAACACCAACGCTTTATAAGTCACAAGACATTTTATTAAGGATTCAAATCATAAATGCTCTCTGATTTACCTGCATTGGACGTTTTTAAAACGAACAAGACTGCTATTATTAAATACGAACCCATAATTCACCGTTTGCAAGTTGAACCGTTATCAAAGTAGTGACCACAAAGAAACCTTTTGGGATTAGGTCAGCACTATAATTGCTTGGGTCAGGGAGTCCCCTTCCTTCACCGACTCTTGTTACCATTGAGATATTTTGGTCGTGTTTCTTTAAATCCGCCCGTTCCCCAGTTGTAAATTTATGTTGGAAAAGGCTGCTTATAACATGTTAAAATTGGCTTAACCCTTTCTATTCAAGCAAATAATAAAATTTAACCAAAAATAAAATATAAATACTTTTGATAAATATTAAACATGCAATAAAGTTGTTGAATAAATATTAAAATACAAGAGTCAGTTTTGTAAATAACAGTCAAAAAATATCATCCAAATATTAAATAAGTTATATTTTTTCCCAAAACAATAAGGTTAGTTATTATTATTATTTTTTTAAGTTAATAGTTATTAATAAATATAATTTAAGTGCCTTACTAGTTTTTATTTAGTAGTAATTATTTATTCCTTGTCAAACATGTAAAAAAAAGACTGTAAAAAATTAAACAACCAAGGCTTGTTTTTTAATCAATAAGATAAAACTACTTGCATATTTTACTTAAAATTAAGTCCAATAACCCTGTCTGCAATTAGTAATTTTTCATTGTAACTTCAGTTTAAATTCCACTAAAAAAATTTCGTTTTATTAATATCACAGCTCAAGATCATTATAAAGAGAGCATTAGTATTGGTAGGTGATTAAAAAAATGAATAATTAACAAGAAGTAAAAAAAAAACTTTATTTCAAAAAATAACCATTTTAAAATTCTTGATTACAAAAACTAGATAACGATTCTTCAAGATAATTTTAAATTCGAACAGTATAACACAGGTTAGTTTTTTTTCGACTAGCAATTATCTTTCATAAAAGCACAGAATGAAATTCTTATAATTCTCTATAATATCTCTTGCAGTGCTTTCGCATAACAGGCAGGATTCGGCTTTTCCGCCACAAACGCTGGCTGAATAGAATGTCTAATTAACGCTTCTTCGGTCGTCTTCCCTATGGCACCAATCTGAACAAAATAATAAAACAAAAATATTTGTTTAAAGAAAAACTATTAGTACAGTTTAAAAACTATAGAAAACAACCTTTAATCCGTTGAGATCAATTTTCAATTTTTCAAACAGAGGAATAGTCGAGTCGACGCCGGAAGGGCTGAAGTATAATAAAAAAGAAACTTCAAATTCGTCAAATATCGGTCTAAAGAGCATCTCCAATTTTGGATTGGTAATTGTATTATAAACGACGAGTTGATCCACCTTGAGGCCACCCGCTCGCAGGGCGGTTACTATCGTGTCTGTCGATAAATTGCCGACAGGCAGGAGCAAAGGTTTGGTTATATCTGACAAAAATTTTTTAAAATGTAACACTATTTTTCATATTTATTATTCGAGTCGTTACCTTGCTCGAGGATGAACTTGGACAAGTCTTTTCCGTTGCCGCTTGCCTGGCCTTCAGGAATCATCCCGAGCTGTACGTAAACATCCTTCGCCGTTTTCTCACCCACGACAAAAGCCCTGTGATTCGTCCACAGCGAGGCGTCGTTTATGCTCATCTTGACAGCTTCCACGCATCGTGGGCTTGAAAATATGATACCTGACAAATTCAAAATCTTTAGCTAAAGAAATTAAAATCTAACTAGACCTGTAACATTACACAAAGTACAAAAAGTATAATTATGACTGATATATTTAGCATGCAAGACCATCACTAAACTATAAAGTTATAATTGTCCAAAGATTAACCATGGATTAAAAAAGTTACTTATTAATAAAAATAAATTTTATTTTCAATTATCAAGTTCTTCATCCATGTTATACGTAAAACAAGAGAGGGACATCGCAATAGCTGAATCAAGGTGGTTGACTCGTATTTGCCACGCTATCAGTTTTGGGTTGGCTTTTAATTAATCATATGAAAAATATTGTAGAATAAGTTTGACCCCCTTGTCTGCAACACCCAACGGGTAATTGACAGGAATGTAAAGCATGTGACAGGTGCTACACGTCATAAAAAAAAAATTAAAGACCATTATGCAGATCTGTTAAATAAAATCCAACCAAATTCTCCAACCCTAAATAGTACAATCATATTTTCATAGAAACATTAGAATTATTACTAATTCAACTTCTGGAAAAGATATACATTTGGATTTTTAGCTTTACATTTTGTGCAAACATGTATGCCATTCTTTATCACTTACTGTGACCAATACAATCATGGGTAGAGCCTGGATTTATATGCAATATTATTTGCCCTAAAGCTGGGTTTTCACTTTGCAAAAAAATCAGTCACACAACTAAATACAGGAATTACTCGGGGAATGCTATCTCGGGTTAACCATTTCCACGAGGCGAAACCTTGTGCAACATATGGGCGCAAAAGGTGAGCCATCAGTTTCGGAAGACAAGCAAGCTTATTTATAATTACACAAACTGCTGCATCAGCGTTTGCTATCATAGCAAAACTTTATGTTAAAAAGAAAACAAACAAAGAAAACACCGTTGGTGGATAAAAATTATTATTTCGTCAGTGTACCTCATTAGGGATTTCATTTTCACTTTGAGAGTACTGACAGTATGTCCCATTTTGATGCTAATTTCCTTCCACACATACTCTCTCTTGTTCTTATGAGTTTTATCTTTAGCATCCCACAAAAATCAGTAGTTGTAATACATTCAGATAAGTCGAATGCAGTCCTTCTTACACCCGAGACAAGTGCATTTACACAGAGCAAAATAAATAACACAAAACACTTTGATGTGCATTGAAAAACCAACAGCCTGTCGGCTCAATCCAATACATCCTCACGTCAAAAGTTTCGCAATACCAGCTACGTCTTTACAACACGAGACAGTGAGACACATTTCATGAAACAGTTGCATGAGTGAGTTTTGCATAGTGGAAACCCAGCTTAAAAACCATAAATGTATCACAACAAACATTAAAATGCACATAATGAATAATTAATTTTTCAAGTAGATATATTTTTTGTCATTTTGAAAGGAAATAGAACAAAAAAATTTTGGTCACCCAAAAGAATCATATATTTCAAAATAGTATACAATAAATATAATTAAACTTTAAATTCAGGATCTGAATTAAAATTGACAATAATACTTCAAAGATTGTTTCTATAAAACTACAGCATTTATCACTTAAAAAGTATTTGTACATGTGTTTCCAATGTCAACAGAGGTCAAGGGAGCATACTTGCAGTAACTTAAAATGATTGGATTGTAGATTCCTTGTATAGTGACTTATTTGTTTCCATTTAAGATTCTTTAATTTACCTCTGTTCAGTCAGTCCTGTATTTTTGTAAAGGATGTTTTTTTTTGTTTTCTTAAATTTCTTTTGTAATATATTATGGCATATGAAAACAACTGTCAACATTGTGCGTCATTCTGAATGTGTAAGGATTAATGATGTAAAACTCAATGAAAATATGTCTTGCCTTTTTGCATGTTAAATTAAACTGCTCAAAAATGAATAGGGATATTTGCAATTTATTCTTATTATATTAGTTTTAATTAAATTAACCAATATAATATTGTAGGTGGGACAAAACAAAACCAAAAATAAACGTTAATCGTTAATTTTAATAACAGATTTACTTTTTTGTAAATTATGAAATTACTTATTTTGTAGACCAACACCTTTTCTTGTCTTTTCTCCAATTTAATCCAGTTGTATTCTCTTTAACCATGGAAAGACATCTTGGACCAGAAGTTCACGATATTATTGTGAGAATAAGTCATCAAGGTCTACGGTATGTGGATATCAAAGAAGCAGTTGGCATTTCTCAGAGTATGGTCTCCCGGGATTTAGCCCGATTCAGAGAGAGTGGAATTGCCAATCGGAGTCCTGGTATTATGATGCTAAGGGAGGGCAGAAATATTGTCATTGCTGCAAGACGGAACCCTTTTCATAGTGCCAGCTAGATCCTAAAGGAAGTACAAGATGTTTTGGCAAGGCCTTTATCATCAGTTGGCCTCACATCGCATGCCCCTTTGAGACAACCTGCAACAGCCCACCACCGCAACTCAGAAGAATATGGTGCAGCAGACACCTGGAAGAGATCATCAATTGGAATGCAGCTACATTTACTGTTGAGACACGTTTCTGTCTGTATAGCGATAGCAGGCACTGAAGAGTCTACCAAGAAAAGGGGATGCATATTATGCCCGTTCGTGCTCCCTTCAGTGCAGTTTGGAGGAGGCAGTGTAATGGTCTGGGCAGGGATGTAAGGGACACTGGAGGACGAACTGGATTCCATATTGTCGAAGGCGACCTCACCGCAAGTCCGTTATGTCCAAGAAATTATTGAGGAATACATCCCTCAAACCAGAGATCTCACTGGCAGGGATTTAAAGTATGCCTAACAGGTGCTCAGATATTTTAGTTAATAGAAGACAGTATGCACCGTATTAATTGCTTAAAAAAATTATTGTGTCCAATAAACAAAATTATGGAATTAAAACCTTTTGTTATTTTTCAAAATCTCTTAATTAAATTTTCCTTCATAACATAATTATGTTTAATAAATTTTAATTATTTATAATAAAAATAAAGAAAGTAAATACTACAAAATTGGCAAATCCCTTTTCATTTTTGAGCAGTTTGTATAGAAGTTCTGTTCTGAAGTTTAATTACACTTATGATTTTGGAACTCAGTCGCATTGTATTCAAGCTGTTAGAACTTTTCTGACGACAAACGCAACTGGCTGTCCCTCGAAATGAAACAAAAAACAATATTTACCTTATTAAAATGTCTATTCTGCGAGCCTCCTACCCTAGTATGACTTGAAAATACCACGATATTTATCATAATTATGACATGTGGAAACAACAGTCAAAACTGCATCATTCTGAATGTATAAGGATTAATGATTGTAAGACTCAATGAAAAGCTGCTGTGCCTGTTTCACTTATGTAAAATTTCTGTTCTGAAGAATTACACTTTGGATTTGGGAAGTCAGTGATGTTGTACTCAGGCTTTTAGAAGTTCTTGGATAAAAAATTAATAATGTTGGTTTGATAGAGTTTACAGTTTATCATAAATTAAAAATAAACATTCTTTATCTCGTTTAATTATGTAGAATTGTTGAATGTTAGTTTATTGCCTATTTTGCGACTCTCCAACCCTAGTATAACTTGAATATATCAATATTATTTATCATACTTATGTCATATAGAAACGACAGTCAAAACTCTTCGGATTGATGACTGCAAGATAAAATGAAGAGTTGTTGCGCCTTTTTTTTTTACTTATGCAGAATTTTTCTTTGTGAAGAATAAATACACTTAGAATTAGGGGACTCAGTCATGTTGTATTCTGGCTAATACTGGCTTCATTATTGGTACCAATAATGTTGGTTTGATAGTGTTTATAGTTTATCATAAATTGAAAATAAACAATTCTTAGAATTGTTGTGTTAGTTTATTGTCTATTTTGCGAAATTCCAACTCTAGTATAATTTGAAAATATCATCGTATATTTATCACACTTATGTCACACTTAGGGAAAACAACTGTCAAAACTCTGCATCATTCTGAATGTATAAGGAATGTAAGATCAAATGAAAAGCTGTTGTGCCATTTTTGTTCACTTATGTAGAATTTCTGTTCTGAAGAACAGTCTTGTTGTATTCTGGCTAATAAAACATCATTAGTACCAATAATGTTGGTTTGATAGTGTTTAACTTTATCATCAATCGAAAATAAACAATTCTTATCTTATTAAATTATGTAGAAATCTAGTATGTTACTTTGTCTATTTTGTGAACATTCCAATCCTTGTATAACCTGCAAATGTATTGATATTATTTATCACAGTTGACATATGGAAGCAACTGTACCATGGTGTATGGAGTCTTGTATTTGTATGTCAAACTAATAATGTTGGTTTGATAGTGTTTACAGTTTATCATAATTTGAAAAGAAACAATTGTTATCTAATTAAATTATGTAGAATTGTTGAGTGTTAGTTCATTGTCTATTTTGCGAAATTCCAATTCTAGTATAATTTGAAAATATCATCGTATATTTATCACACTTATGTCATATGGAAAACAACTGTCAAAACTCTGCGTCATTCTGAATATATAAGGAATGAAAGATCAAATGAAAAGTTGTTATGCCTTTTTTTCACTTATGTAGAATTTCTGTTCTGAAGAAGTCATGTTGTATTCTGGCTAATAAAACATCATTAGTACCAATAATGTTGGTTTGATAGTGTTTATATTTTATCATAAATCGAAAATAAACAATTCTTATCTTATTAAATTATGGAGAAATCTAGTGTTACTTTGTCTATTTTGCGAACCTTCCAACCCTTGAATAACCTGCAAATGTATTGATATTATTTATCAGTTATGACATATGGAAGCAACTGTACTATGGTGTATGGCGTCCTGTATCTGTATGTCACAGCGAAACGTCATAAAAATTTTTATGTATTTTTGAATCGAGTGTAAATTACCGGAATAAAGGTCGGGATGGTCGAGGCGTGTGTTGAGTTCATCCAGGTTGACGAATTCGAACTGTACAACCGGCAGGATGTGGCTGTGGATGCCGATGGACTCGAGTTGCCTCGCGTACGGGTCCCTTTCGCCGAGTCCTTCGTCGTCCGACGCCTTGAAAAGGATCGCGTGTCTGCTCTCGTTCATCGTCGTTCGGATGCGAAAGGCCGATGAGCGAGCTGCGAGGCGACGGCCGAGGGCTATTTCCTCCCAACTGTCAACGGCCGCACTGTCCGAACGGCCGAACCTGCCACCTCCGCCTTCGGTATAAACGCTGCTGCCCTCTTCGACCCGTCGGTCCGCCTTTTTACGGACGGATAACCGCACGGGGAGGTTATGAAATCCGATCCACCCGTTTTACAACCGGAACCAGTCGCAGATCATTTTCACTTAAAAAGAGGTAATTATTCAATTATTTATTGTAAAAATTAATATAATTTTATTTTACACAATAAATTAAAAAAATAATAGTTTAAATCGTTGAATTTATACTACTGGAGTTTAGTTTTTCATTGTTGAAAGGTTAATGAGTGCAGGACTAAAAACCATCCTGCAATAGCCAAAAGTCATTATATATATCATAATTTGCTTATTTGACAACTGACGCGTATTTTTTATTCTACTGCTACCAGTCTCCTAAAAGATGCAATTGGGAGAAATTAAGAATTAATGTAAGATCATTTAGAAACAAGAAAAAGAGTAAAGGTCCAAGAAGAGAGCCTTGGGGTACACCAGCTGAAATTGAGAAAGGATCGAAGACAGAATATGAAGCTTAAACTTAGTTCTGTCAGTCAGATATTAGATCTAATCTCATCTCCTACAATATCAGCTGGTCTACCCTAGGGCTTTATTCTTGGACCTTTACTATTTTTTATGTTTCTAAATAATTATTCAGAAATTGTGAGATGCGGTCTGGTGTGATGTAGATTTCAGAAAAACATATTCTTTATCGTGCCAACGTTTCTTTATTGAGATCATCTTCAGGGCCTGGGATTTATAAATAAATTTTACAAATACATGTAGGATGTGAAAAAAATGAATGTATACAATGGTAGAAAAAATTTTTCCTCTCAACACGACACGCAAGAATGGCACAATTACACAAAAGACAGACACTTTGAGCCCTGAAGATGATCTCAATAAAGATTGAAACGTTGGCACAATAAAGAAAATGTTTTTCTGAAATTTACATCACACCAGACCGCATCTCACGATTTCTGAATAATTGTCGACTAATGGACACTACTCACCACACATTTCTAAATAATCTTCCAACAGTTGTTAATTGCTTTCAATCTTGATGCTGATGACAATCTGCTTTACATTCAATCACTATCCTACACACAACATCTCTAAAGCTATCTCTCTGCCCAAGAAATCCATTCTGTTTAGTGGTCTAATTGACCAAATTACTTCTTTCAATTAATTATTCTTTTTATGTAAGGTCTTGGTTGAGATAAAAAAGTTAGTGCTGCTGTCATCACTTGAGCTATCGTGACTTAAACAGAAAACTTCAGTTCTACTTATTCAATCCTTATAATTCCTTTATTCTCTTACTGTAGTGGTATTGTGTCACTTTTCTTAGTCTCTCAATCTGCTCAACGTCTTCATGTTGATTATCATTCTTGCATTAGATATTGTTCTGATCTTAAACTAGGGGGTCATATTTCTTCCTATATTAATATCTTGTTTCCGGACATGAAGGCATAGAAGAACAGGCTGACCAACTAGCCAAAAAAGGGGCACCCCCCCACGTGACTAGAATCACAACTAAGTACTCCGGAGTATGTGCTTATGTTGGAACTGGAAAACTTGATTGAGAAAGAAAAAATCAAACACTCCAGGTATGAGGCAAGCTAAGAGATTTATAAATATCTCAAAATGAAAAGTGAAAAACTCTCTCTCTCTCAGCAGGCAGGATTTGAGGAGAATTATGAGCCTCTATACCAACCATTGCCCTCTTAATTATCACCTAAAGAAGATGGACAAGGCTAAGATGGAAAAATGCAAACTCTGTCAGGAGGAACAAGAGACATAGGCACCTATCCTTTGCAAATGTAAAGCGTTAGTCTGTTTACGGTACAGCCACTTTGGTAGGACATTTCTCTTACCCAAGGAGATCTACAAAGAGGCACCAATAGAGCTGTTTAGGTTGCAATAGTGGAAAGAATTGTTTTTTGCATCCACCCCCCTAAAAAATTTTAAAAAAATTCATCCTTAACCATCCCTAACTCCTTCAGCATCCTTAACATTCCAAGCACTTATAAACTTAGAGTTGAAATGTTTATATTTATAATTAAATATAAAAACATCCTCAATATTTATCAACTTTTCCCACATTATCCAATGTTCTTATTCAAATGCACCAATTATATCCCAAGCCTTCAACACTTCTCTAAACTTTAGCCTTATCCTTCAGATTTTAGGGTCAAGACAATGGAATTTGCTTCCTCGCTGGCTTGTTCTGTCCTCCTTTTCTTTTTCCTTTTCTTTTTCCTTTTCCTACTTTCTGTTTCAATTTCTCCTGCCTGCAGTGCGATGAAAATGTATGTACTTGGTAATTTCAGATTACTTAGTGTTTGCAGTTTTTACAGTTTTTCTCATAGTTGTCAATACATCAACTTCTTTTGAGATAGAAACCCATTTACTGTCTTCCATAACATGCAGATTTTCAATTTAAAAGAAACATAAAAATGTTTTGGAAATGGATGACAGGTGTATAAATTTTTGAACAAGAAAATAATTTACTAAGCTAAAGGTAGTTTAGATTTTATTATACATTTAACAAATACAGTGGTTGTAGTCATCTTTGTAAAGGGTGAAAAAAAGAGACAGGCCATAAAAACTAGCCAATGAAAAAGTTATTCGATCTAACGGGTAATTTATATGTAGCTTGTTTTTCTCCAGTATGCCTGTTTTCACAGGTTTTGTATGTCAGACACATTTTGCCATTCCGTTATCTTTGACGTGGTCTTAACAAACTAACAAAACAATACCTGGACTAACCACTTAAGGTGGCAGAACGCCAAAATACATCTGACAGACACAACAAACTAGAATAGAATGATTTGAGTTCATCACCTCGCTCACCTCAATTTTGCAAGTTAAATTATTAGCATATATTAGCATATAGAAAATATTTTTAGGCATCTAAAATGTAACAATTAATCACTAAAATGTTTACCGTGTAGTGAAATTTTCTTTGGAAGTAGGTAAATCATGTTCTCATAAGACTACGTCCAAGCGTTTTTTAATAACCTTGGTTTTAGAATCTTCACTTGTAACAATGTCTCTACTTTCAGGGTTTTCATCTCCATTATTTTAATAACCTTGTTTTTACAATCTTCTACACTTCTAACAATTTCTCTACCTCTAAGTTTTTCATCTCCTTTTTTTAAATAACCTTGTTTTTAAATTCTTCTTCACTTTTAACTTCTAGGTTTTTCCATCTTCATTTTTTTTAATAGCCTTGTTTTTACAATCTTCTTCAGGTTTAACACTGTCTTTACTGCAAGGTTTTTCCATCTCCAATTTTTTTAATAACCTTGTTTTTACAATCTTCTTCACTTTGGATAATGTCTTCTACTTTTCTACAGGGTTTTCATCTCCTTTTTTTTAATAACCTTGTTTTTGCTATCTTCATCACTTTTAACAATATCTCCTATGTCCAGGCTTTCCAGCTCCATTTTTTTAAAATTTGCTTTTACATTCTTCTTCACCGTTGTCAAGAACTATCCTGATTATTTAATGGACAAATATTTATATTTTGTTATGCTAGAAATTTTCTGTGTTCAGGAGAACAGTTTATTCTTAGCACTCATACATTAGAAAATCACCTTTGGCAAAAGTTAAGGTGGGTTGACTTTATTTTCTTCTATTAAAGTAAGTTTGAAAAGCAACCTTTGTCACTTTTGTATGTATTGCTAGTTTTGGGTTATACCTTAAATTTTAAATATAAATATAAAAGTAAGTAAGCATAGAGGACCAGGCCAGTATTTGAGGTTCCCCATTTTGTTTTCTAAACTAAGGTATTATTTAAAAATTAATTAAAGTGAATATATTTATTATCCTGTTGTTGAAATAAACCAACTATTTGTTTATATTTTTGACCCACTGTAATAAATAGTCTGTGGGTAGAATTGAATGTTTTGGAGGGCCAACATGAGTCATGACCTGTGATTTACCATTTGTTTATAATCTGCATGGTTTGGGGGCTTAAATGACCTGTATTTTAGTCACTCTGAAATTTAACTGCAGTGGGATGGTGAGACAGAATGTTCAAACACCAGGCTATAAGAACAAACTTTATGTACCTTGTACAAAACGAACAATATAATTGGAAAATTGTTTATTTAGATATAACCCAGCATACCTGCAGAAGATAAGTTAAAGAGCAAGTATAATTTACAAGAAATTAAATTTCCTCCTTGGTTCATTTTTATAGCCAACTATCAAACTTACTTTAATAGAAGAAAATAATGTCAACCCACCTTAACTTTTGCCAAAGGTTTTTGTAGCAAAAATAATTTCTCTGCCATAAGTTACACTAGACTATTGGTGTATGACATCTGTTGATTTTTAAGTTTTTAATATATTAATTTATTTTAATGATTTGCTCATCTCAATTTTCTCCCTCAGCATGCATAAAATTTCTTCTGCTAGGATTTGTAGATTGGTGGCTTGAAAACAAAGAGAAACTTCGTTCACTTCTGTGGTTATCACAATTCAGCAATAAAGTAATAAATAAATTGATAAACTGTATTGATTCAATATTTTTGATTTGATGAAGTTATTGATTTTTGTGTTCAATTTACATTAGGCCTTAATTGAATAAAGTTGTCCACCATATATGGCCAAATTAAGAAAACCATTGTGATATTTTCCAATATATGAGTAGTTTTTGAGCATTATCTAAATTACATTGATTAGTAGTAATCATAAAAAAATTTGTAACACTCAAAACGTGTGGTAAGGAGAAGGGTCAGATTTTGCTTAGTTGTCCAAATGAATATAAATTATATTTTTTATGGTAACCACAACAGTCTAGAAGTAAGTCAAATAGTTGTAGAATGCATTATAAAAACATATGTGAATGTGGTGATTAAAATGAATCATGCATTCAGTGTGAAATGACGTACCCAAACCGTTTCAGGTTCAAAAGATCATGCATCCCCTGGACTTTCTGTTTCATTCAAGTGGTGCCCTTTTCTGTTAGCAATATACACTTTATGTAAAATTTCCTCTTGGAATTAATGAATTCCCATGTTCTGGGGTGTTGAATGTTTAAGCTGATTGGTCTATCGGACACATTTCAGCTTTCCATCTTCAGTGGTGGACCTGTGTAATCTGGTCTGTTTTTTTATTTATTGTTCTGAACCCAGACTTTATATGTGAAGGGGTTCAGTAGATAAAGATAACACCAGGTACTCAACTAAACAGGAATCGCTCCATTGAAGATGGCGAAAAGCTGATGAATCAAAAGAGTGAGGATGGGAAGACAAAATAAAACATTAAGTTAAAAATGGAAGATCACCATTAAGAGGCAATAGGCATTATTGTTCTATAGCAAGAACATGTAGACCCAAAATAATTCTGAAAAATATTTATATATTGTAAAAACAAAATTGTAAAGGTACAAATGGTACAAATAAAAAGTACTTTAAATAGTTTTTAATCAAAAATAACATTATATACACAATATAAATAATTTGTTAATAAAAATGAAAACTAAGAGTGAATTTTTGGTGTAGGGTTGAGGGGAAAAGGTGGAAACGTTTCCGGAGTGCTTTATTTTAAAAGGTGAAATTGGCATTGGGACAGATTCTCGAGAGTCGATTGTAAACAAATGCTCTAAAAATAATTTTGAGACTCAACGTTTCCACCTCGGGCACCGATTTAGGCGTAGGGTGCCAATCCTAATAATAATAACCATTTCGTACTCGGCGGTAGATGTGGTTGGTTAACTTTTGAACAATTTACAGTTGGTTTGCATTGGTATTGGCGTTTAAAAAATATAAATAGGTTGCTTTTAAATCTGTCCAAAGCAGTCTGACAGCCCTTGACTTCTCCTCCAGGTCGCCACCCTCTGGATATACCACTCCTGAAACAGAAAAACCGCCAAATAATTAATAAGTAAAACATATTCTAAATAAACTTGTCGTAAAAGAGATAATCCAAACATGCTTGCCAGTTCGGAATAAAATAGTCTATTTGTTGCTTAGTACTGTTTTATATCGTAAAAATATAAATTTAAGTTTAGCAGAAAGATTAGATTGGTGAAGGTGCTGTTTCCCTCGTTTGCCGGGTTTAGCGAATGTGATTTCTCTGGCAGTCAACATTCTGGAAGGTCGACGACCAACTTAAAATAGCCAATGAAATAGCCCACAGTGTATCACTTTGGGGGTGGAGGGGGAGCTACAGCTCATAAAGCAGGGTAGTTAATTTTCCAATTTACAGAAAACTAATCCCAATCAATTAATTTATATAGGTTTTTGTTTTCGAAGGACCAAAATAAGAAATTTTTGTAGATGGAAAGATAGTTCTGTGTGACACTATAAATCCTATATATATAAATCGTCAGTCATCTAGGACCTTTTTTATATTTCGTGAGCGAAATACTTTCTTTCTCCAGACTCAGTACGCCCAACAAGATAAACCATACTGCTTCGACCAAAGTAAAATGTTGCGAGTTGGTTCACAAATATTTTGTCAAACAATGGAGAAGCCTGGTGAATCCACTTGTCAAACCTGATCCATTTAACTTAAAAGAAGAAAGTTACCAACAACACTTTGGCTAGCAGGTATATTAAAATACCACCTAAAGACAAATGGGATTATTAAAAGATCCCGGTGTCGACTATGACAAAAAGAGACTGTGGCAATAGGGCATATTCTGTGCTTCCGCCTGAAATCCATTCCTGAGCAATAAAGACCTCGTAGTCAATACCCTGCCGGCTGCACCTACCTCCAGTTCCTGCATTATTCAGAACTGCTGAAGGAAAGGGTTTCTTAACCCCGCCTCGAGGAATATGGAGTACTTTGGGGTGTTGTTTCGACTGGAGAGTAAAAGTAAGTTATTAGCGAGAATGGAGTGGGTTCAACCCCGCCCCGAAAAATATCGAATGCTGGGAGAGTGAAATGACCAGACGTCTGTTTGTATGCTTATGTAAATTTATAGGAATGAATGTAATTTATTACCGTGAAAGAAAGGGGTTTCTTAACCCCGCCCCTTGGGATATCGAGAACTCTGGGGTTAGTGTCTGACGACTGGTGAGTAAAAGTAAGTTATTCGCGAGAATGGAGTGGGTTCAACCCCGCCCCTTGGAATATCGAGTGCTCTGGGGTGTGAATGTTACCAGACTTCTGTTTGTCGGCTCCTGAACTTTCCATGTGTACAGGGTAATCCAGCATAAACCCGAAAAAAATTGGGTTATAGTACATCCTAAATAGATTAAAATGTAATCAACGGAACCAACGTATTTCAATCCGGCCGGAAGTTATGAATTTTTACATGTGTTCGAAATATCCCAATCTTAAGCCATAAATTGGCATTTTTTCAAGATCTATAGCATCTGTTCCAATTTTTAACCATATTTTTGAATTCTGCATCAAATTTCCTATAAGAAAATAGAATCGTACAAAAGTCACCGTTGGACAAATGAGAAAACGGTACGAGCATGCGTTAGACACCACGGAAGGCATTTTGAACATTTGTTGTTTCTCTTCTTTTTTTAGTATTTTATTTCGTAATAAAGAGATTTGACTTAATAATATTACACAAGTCATTTCTTTCTTTCTTTTTTTTTAAATTCTGCATCATCCACACTGCTGTTTAAAATTTTCGAAATTGCACAGTTCACTCCACTTCTGTAAGCGTTAAATTTGCACGTTTGAACCATGTTTTTTAACATTCCAGGTTGATTTTACCGTTGAAGGGTTGACGTTTTTGGAATTTCGAGTACACCTTAGGAAGGCTTATTAAATGAAGTTTTTATGTTTGGTACCCCTACAAATATTGGGTTGTCCGGAAAATAATGCAGGATTTTAAGTTTTCATTAAAAAAAATCTATATAAAATATTCTGTTTACGTTTACAGGATTACTCATTTGTATGAATGTCAACACTTATTAATCCTCTTCCAAATGATATTGTTTGTTTACCTCTGTAGCATTCCGCTACTTGGAAATAATTCAGTCATCCTTATAATGTCAAAGCGAGAATTTCGTACGATTTTCTTTTACGAGTTTAAACTCGGCCGAAGCGGAGCCCAAACGGCTAGAAACATTAACCAAGTCTGGGGCGAGGGTTGTGTTAATGAGTGCACTGTGCAAAGGTGGTTTAAAAAATTTCGGGAGGGAGATTTCAGCCTTGAAGATGAAGAAGGTCGTGGAAGGCCTTCCTCTCTTAATGATGATGTTCTGCGATCAGTGGTGGAAGAAAACCCCAAAACAACTGTTCGAGAACTTGCAGAGCAACTCAAAGTCAGTAAAACGACCGTCGCTGACCACCTCAAGGCGATTGGAAAAGTGAAAAAACTCGAAAATTGGGTTCCACACTCATTAAACGATCGCCAAAAAATCAGCGCTTTGATGTTTGTGCATCACTTCTTTGTCGAAACAAAAATGACCCATTTCTGGCCAGAATTGTTACATGTGACGAAAAGTGGATTCTCTACGATAACACTAGACGTTCTGGACAGTGGCTCGACAAAGGAGAAGCTCCAAAGCCCCCAACTCATCAAAAAAAGGTAATGGTTACGGTATGGTGGGCTTCATTTGGTTTAATACACTACAGCTTCTTAAATCCTGGCGAAACCATCAATGCTGAATCATACTGTAACCAAATTAATACCATGCATCAGAAATTGGCAGTAATGAAGCCCTCTTTGGTCAATCGGAAAGGGCCCATTTTGTTGCATGACAACGCTCGACCACATGTGTCACGTGTAACGTCACAAAAATTATTGGAGCTTGGCTATGAAACTTTGCCTCACCCACCCTACTCTCCGGACCTCTCGCCTACTGACTACCATTTTTTTAGACACCTGGACCACTACTTACAACACATAATATTCAAAAATCAAACGGAACTGGAAAATGCATTTATTGACTTTATCAATTCTAAAAATTCTGAATTCTACTCAGACGGAATTAATAAGTTACCAACACGTTGGGAGAAATGTATTGAGAGTATGGGAAATTATTTTGATTAAAGAACATTGCTTTAAAGTAACTAGTTTCTTTTTTTTTGTTTAATACCAAAATCCTGCATTATTTTCCGGACAACCCAATATGTTTGTAATGTTGAAAAACAGTTATTTTTTAGAAATTTATCAAACGTTTCTCCTTTTTTAAAATTCTTTGTATTGGGTAATAAACTTACATGTACATAAGGCCATAAATTAGCCTTCCTTAAAGGAAAGTTAAATAATAAAAAAAAACTTTCGTGTATTCAACAAAATTCAAAAGGTTCATAATCCCGACCGGACCGAGATAGAACAGTTCGGTTGGTTGCATTTTACTCTATTTAGGATGTACTATAACCTAATTTTTTTCGGATTTATGATGGACCACCCTATATATGTACTACCAGTAAAAAACAAACTGCATCATTGTTACTTCGTTGAAGACGCCTGAAAATATTTGATCTCAGATCATGATTGGTCATAGATTTGCTTGTGCAAAATTATTTATTTTATTTTTGTACTTGAAATAATATATTAGACATGAATACGTAAATAATTTGTATCAACAAAATCAGTAATACGTATTGCTGGAAAATTTTAGCCAAAAGTTCAGGAAATTGAGGAGGAAGGGACAGAAAATCTACTAGAAATAAATTTTACAAAATCAGAAAAACATTATATTCTTATAAACTTTAGAAATTATTTTTTGTTTGTGAAAGTGAATCAATTTGTAACACTTCTTCTCTTTGGAATTTTTAAAACTGATAAATACCATTTGCTATAGGCTTAGTTTCAGGCTATTCAATTGGCAAAATCGAAATTCTCATGGGTCACAAAGATATCGCATTTTTTTCTAAACTGCATTTAATGATCTTTCACGATACCCTCGAAGACCTCGGAGCGATAAAAGCTACAGTTAAATTTTTTTCTTGGAACATAACGTCACCCGGTTAGAAAATAATGGCAATTGACAAATATTATTTATTTGCCTGTAACATAAACGGTTGTTAAATTAGCTTGTTGTTCTTGTGCGCCTGTATGATCCTTATGGTATAATGAGAAAACTGAAAACGGAAAGTTCTAGTGTTAAGAAAAAATTATTCTGGTTGATGTTGAATATGCAAAATATTGTAATTACATGATGTCATAGTCGGTCAGAGGATATCGTATGACTAATATCAAACGAGTAAATCGAATTTGATCAGTTAATTAACCGGCTCTTTAATTCATCGTAAATACAAATTGACGTCAGAATGTAATTAAGCATTAGGTCGAGTCGAACAAGGTTGAACAGCGATGCTTGACGGACCTCGAATGAGGACAATGGTCAGCGTTGACGTAACGCCAATTCGTTCTCAATTTCGATTTCATCAAACAGCATTTAGGAAAATGAAGGGGTTTTTGTGGATAAATGATGGCTCGTTATCGCGTGGTCGGATCCGCCGCTAACTGGACCACATTTAACACGATCCGGCTGAGGCACAAAGGGCCAATTGTGGCCACGTCCCAAGGGAAATGAAAAGTCTATCTGTCCCTCTTTCCTTATCAAGGCCTTACGACTGTTATAAATCCGACCCAGGCTCCGGGGATATTTTCAAATAGATTTTTTTTAAAACAATGTCAAGTCCTAGAACGACCGTCCATGACCGCAAATGTGATACAAAGCCAAAAAAATATAACGCTAAACTGAATAAGCACTGGGACTAAATGATGAAATGGACCCGGGATTTGGAATTTCTGTAATCCTTGGTAATCCTATTTACATTGAGACGGAAGGTCCTGATTAAATCAGTAGCGTGTCTATACAGAGTCACACGACTGACCATGAATAACACTATGAAATAAATATAAATGGACAACTAGAAAAGTTTGATAATTGCAATTTTGTACGCAGAACGCCATTTCTGAAATGCCAA